GGGGGGGGGTGCTTGGGCGTTCAATCGACTTGCGTCAACACCATAAGCCTGCATGCCAACGCGGTGAGATACGGGACAGGATGCCTTCAGTTTCGTGCCATTGGCCGGAAGACGGGACGTCGGTACCAGAGCACCCGTGCCTTTGCGTCGCGACATGGCACGCTACGCTAACCACTGCTACCCCCCGGAACTTGCAGCCGATGGGCATTCGCATCGTGAAGCCTGTGCATGTCCCCTCGGCGCTACTGTCACCTCTTCTCTTTACCCCATGACCCCATTCTCTGGGCATTCCATCTGAAAAAAGCACCGGACCCTTCTATGGCACTCGACTAGAACATCACTAAACATTGTACTTGTTATTTTGCAGGCGCACATTCACGTTGCTACTTATGCACAAGCTGTCACATGTCAGACAAGGAAAACGCTTCGTTTGCTTTTGTGTGTGTGCGAGTGTATGTGCTGAGCTACCATGATGCTCCCCCCAAAATCCCACCAAGAGATAAGAAACAAAGAAAGACACAAGAAAGAAAGAAAAAACAGGCCATACTCGCCCAAAGGCAGTACGTTATACACCCGCCAGCTTGCAACACCCCAGGCCCTCCAGACAGCAAAAGTAGAAGTGAATGCCACAAAATTACAAGCAGCTAAATCCATGTGATGTATATCGAAAACTCCGTAGTATAGCAAACCAGGTGGCACAAGTAGACACCAACCCTCCACTGACAATAAAAACCAATGCAATCAAGGAAAAACATGATTAGTGGGCTGCCTCAACAGGCGACCCGTAATGGAAATGGCCAAAACGACAAGGAGAGGCTGGTGCGGACGCTGCAAACAACAATCTACAAGTATGTACCATAGTGACAAAAGAGAAATCCCGATGACTGCAGCCCTGGTAATCCCATGGCCGGTCCGTTTGCGTCAATTGTGTGCCCCTTTCCCACCCATTTCTATTCGTCATTAAATATCCGCCTTCTGGCAAAGCCTAGGGCGCTTCGTAATACTGCCCCGACCCCTCCCTAGTCGGAACTGCTTGGGTGTGCTTGGTCGGTTCTTTAGTAATGATTTTGCTGTGCCAATGTGTTTGTAGAAGAAATCGATGAGAAGTGAAAAGAAGAAGAAAAAAAAAGGAAGAGTTGCCTCGAGTGTTTCGCTAGCCGTAGTCCCGGGAAAGGAAAGGAAAACCATGTGTGTCCATGGAAAAGCAGTAGATGATTTCGCCAGTTTCGCCAGAGCTTGGAAAAACAGTGCCCATGCAAAATGCCAACATGGTCAAAACCAATGGCTACCAAATCAAATGTCGAACATGATTTCCCCGTTACCGAACGCCCACCGGGGGACGCGGGCCTAGGCTGCTTTGGCTGCTATGCGCAGAGTTTTCAGAATCTAGAGCCGCGCTACTGTTGGAAGCGCTTCCAGTCAGACTGCGAACTTGGGGACGAGACTTGGGCGGGTACAGATTGCTCACCCCAGCGTGCTGTTCAACATGTTGTGGCACTCCTGGTTGTGCCATACCGGGAGGCGAGGGTCTTCCGTTTGGTGGCATGCCATTGTGCGCATACCCGTTGGGTGGTGAGGGTCGGCCGCCGGGCCTGGGGCCGGGGCTGAGGGGGTTACCTGGTGACTGGCTCATTCGTCGACCGTTTGGGTTAGGATAGGCACCATAACCGGCGCCGCCTGAGATATCGTCAAGACGGGCTGATGTGAGCGAGTTAGTTCTCGATTGTGCACCCATGGCACCGCGATCGACATGGCCGTAACGGTCAGATGAGTAGCCCATGAGCGGGTTGTTCATAATCGAGTCATGAAGGCCCGGAACGTCCGCCATCAGCCGAGCACTACTCCGATTCTTGTTTGCACCAGAACGCGAAAAGGGATTTCTCGGGCCTCTGTTGGGCAAAGGTCCGAAGCCTGCACCCTCGGGGTTCTGGCGAATCTGCTTGGCACTGGGCGCTGAGCGGTTGCGGCGTGACGTGACGCTCATCATATCGAAATTGTCCGGGTCAATCATTGGTCGGCCTCCCATGGGGTCGAAGAAGTCGTCACCATCGTCATCGTCGTCGTCGAAACCGGCCATGGAAGGAGGCGCTGGAGGCCTTCCTCGACCCATACCAGGGCCAGGGCCCATACCGGGACCCATTGGTCCCATGGGGCCACCGCGACCCATGGGGCCTCCAGGTCCGCCAGGTCCACGTCGCATGTTCATCTCCTGTTCTCTAATCTGTAGTTCCCGCTGCCTCAGCATCAGTTCTCGTTCTCGAAGTGACATGTTGGAGGCGTTGCCTGCGCTCTCATAAGGACCACCGTTGGGACCGTCTGGCACCATGTCATCGTAGAGCATGAGATGTGAAAACTCTTCAAGGTCTCCCCCTCCTTCAATCGAAGGCCGTCGCTGCCCGTTTGGGGCGCCATTCATTCTTGGAGGGTAGCCGTTGGGGCCAGGAGGGGGTCCACGACGCGCCATGGGGGGACCACCGTTGACAGAAGGAGCACGACTGCCTGGACGAGGGCCGCCCTTGACCGGGCCGTTGCCGTTCATCATGGCGCCTTGCGCAGGGGGTCCTCGCGGCATGGGAGCTGAAGACATTCTTGGTGGTGGCTGCATGCCGTTTTGGGATGGTTGGATGGGTGCAACAGCGGGTGCTGCTGGGCGGTTTCGGTTCACAATGTTGATATGATGGAGCGTCGCATACAGCGTTTCGATTCGCGGCACAGCAACGCCAGCTTCTTGTGCAAGCTTCAAGGGGGCACCAAGATATGTCTCAATCTCCATGGGACGCTTGGCCTCGAAATCGAGCCACATGGTGCTGTTGTGCTCTTGGGGGCGAATCATGTCTTGGTACGTCTTTTCGCGGAAGTCTGCCGGGAAAGAGCAGCCAGAGGCTTTTGCCAGTGCGAGCATCTCGTCCAGCACGCCATTGACCAAAGGTCGCACGCCAACCTTTTCCAATAATTCGGCGTGGTTGGGTGTCTCGAACAAGACACTGGCGGGATGGAATGCGATTGGGCTGCACAGCCGTTAGTGGATGCATGAGCGTGCAACATGAGGAATGTAAAACTCACCCTATCATTCGCTCGTACTGTTGTTGTCGGATGTTTTGGGAGACCTTGCAGTCGACCTGTCCAGAGCTCAAAGTCATGGCGAGAGCCTCGGCCATGTCCGACTGAATCTGCGGGGGGATGTTTGCGTTCTTGTTGGCGGCACCAACCCAGATGTTTGTTGCGCCCTTGTGCTCGAACTCGCTAGCTCCAAGCTGCGAAATCTCTGCTCCGGAAACCAATGAAAGCACAACATTTGTGGGGAAGCGTTGCTCAAGATATGATTCGACACCGAGGCTATGTGTTGTATTCATAAGGATGCACGTGTGTTGAGGTGAGACGACAGATTCGATGATGTTGGCAATATCGTATACATCTGGGAGGGCCTTGACGCAGAGAAGCACGTAGTCGAAAGGCTGCTTGGAAGAATGAGCGGCATCTTCCGGAGTGCGAACAACTAATGGATAGCGTTAGTTGCGTTCTAGAGTGTTAGGAGACTGTCTTAGGGACATACCAGCATATGGCTTGAATCGCTCATTACCGTAAAGCGCTGATCTATGACGTGTTAGCGACCGAGTCAGGGGAGAGAGAGAGAGAGAGAGGGGGGGGAGGCAACTCGTAGAGGGAGGTACGCACTTGAATGAGATGCCATATTGAGCGACACTATCGTATCCCGATTTCCAGACAAGGGTAACATCGCAGGCGTTGGTGGCTTGCAGCCGCCATGATAAGAAGGCTGATACGGCGTTGCCGCCCACTGTGGAGTGTTAGCAGTTGTCAATTGAATTAATGCGTAGGAGCCGAAAGGGTGCAGGCGGGATAGGAAGAAGTCTTGGAATTCGAACAGCACAGGCAGAGGATGCATGTGTGTGTTTGTGTTGGATGTGCAAGGGACATATGGAAGGGCCGGCAATGGTGCGACGGCTCGTGGACTGATGACGCACCTGAGAGAATGCGTAACCGCGGAACAGCAGGAGCCATATCGGCGTGGATATGGGTGGTGGACTGAGAGAGAGAGAGGGAGGAGGAGAACAGCTCGAGCTGCAGAGGGTGAGGAGGGAGCCAAAAAGTTGGCGATTGGGGCCGGGCTTGCGTGGATCGCGATGGCGGTGCAAAGACCCGGGCGGCGGCAGCGGAGGGAATTATCGATTAAGATAGTAAAGGAAACGAGCGTGCAGAGGTCGGCAAGAGACGAATCACGGAAGAGATTCGGGGTGGTTCATAAGAGAGGGAGAGAGAGATGAATGGGGGAGAGAGAGAGCGAGCAAGCAAGTAGTGGCGCAGGCTGAGGCAGGACGAGAAGGTAAGTGGTGGGTCGTGACGGTGTGGTCGGTCGGGAGGATTGGGAAGCTGCCGCTACTGCAATGGCGAGTTTGTGAAGAGGGGGGAGAGGGAGAGGGAGAGGCTCGGCTTCACGCAATGAGCGCGCGACAGGCTCTCTGGCAAAAGCGAGCGGGAACGAGCAACAAGAAATGCAAAGCAGAAGGGAGTCGAGCAAGGGAGGAGGTTTGTATGATGGGCAGCAGCGGAGCAGTGGGCGGACGAAGAAGCGCACTGAGAGGCTAGAGGTCAGCAAGGGCTGATGCACTGCCAGGCCCGCGAGCATTGCTTGATATCCCGCACACAGGCTCTACTGGGAGCCGCTAGGATGCTTTGGGCGACAGGCCTGGCACTTATCGCAGTGGCCGCCAGGCGCATGGCTTATTTATTATGGGCGGGGCCGTGCAGTGTATCGTCATTGTTTTTGCTTGATCAAAAAAAGGGCACATGCGCTGCCGTGGCGCCGTGTTTTGCGACGGCGGCGGTAACAGCAGCGAGGATGCGCAGACGGGGAGTGCTTGGTCAAGAGCGAGTCTGCGACGGGGGAGTGGGAGTGGGAGTGGGAGTGGGAGGCAGGGAGACGATGCATGCATATGGGGAGAGAGGCACAGAGGGAGGGCAGGGCATGCATAGTGGAAGGATTGGGGATGAGGGAGGAGCAGCAGCGGTAGCGGTAGCGGTAGCAGCAATGGCAGCAGCAACGCAGCAATGCAGCATCAACAGGGCCAACAAGCAAGGCCAACAAACCAACAATAGCCAGGCTGCAGTGGATCGGCGCCGAACTGTGGACTTGCCAGCATGCTTGCGCGGCACCCCGACCACGACTAACCATGAGCATGGAGATCCGCTTCTCCCTGTGGGCCACCCACACACCACACCACAGGGAGATCTGAGGCGCCATTACCGGACCTGCACGTCGGGCGTCGTACCCAACGACTACTCACAGCCAGGACGGGCGAAGATGTACATACATCCATCGATAAGTATATATATATATATATATATATCGGTGGAAGTGGAGCAGCCTGACACGAGCAGTCTATGTAGTAGTAGTAGTAAGTACTAAGTACTAAGTCGTGTACTCTGTCTGCTCTTACTTACTACTTCACACACACACACACACATGCATACATCAACCAATATATACGGTGCGCCCGCCGCCAGCTGGGTACATTCACGTCCCCCGGCGTCAGCACCTAGCCGCAGCCAAGCAGGCCGGCGTGCAAGAGCTCCGTGCGTCTGACGTCGACGTTCGCGCTGCGTGGGCCAAGACGTCCCGTCCCAACGCCCATTCTGCCTCCGGCCAACTGGCGCCGTGCAACCGCTGTCAAGGCCCGTCGTCTCCCAACGGTTGCCAGTCGTCAGTCAGAGGTAGTCTAGTCGTAGCACACTCGCTCGCTCTCGCTCTTCCCCCCCTCTCCCCCGAAAAGGGGCCCATCGCCTCGCCCTGCCTGGCCAGCTTGCTAGCTGCTAGGAAGCCTGGAGCCAGGAGGAGGAGCTGTGCCCAGGAAAAGGGCCCTGGATATTGATTCTTGTCCTGCCCTGTCCTGCCCTGTCCTGCCCTGTCCTGCCCTGTTCCTGTCCTTGCTTGCTTACCCACTGCGGACACGGCGGACCTTGATAACCGGCCGCACCGCCGCTGCCTCTTATCATAGTACATAGTAAGTAATCAGTTGCACATACACCATCGACACACCGACTCCGACTCTGTCTGGTACAGGCACAGGCATACTATGTACGCACTCACAAGACGACGACGCACGGCTCCGATGGCTTCCCGCACCCGAGCCGCGGCTGCATCTGCAAAATCATACCAGAACCACAATCGCGGCGGTCGGGGCCCCTGGTGCCAGCACACACGCGCGCGCGCGCTCGACAATACTTTCCTGCTGCCACTTACTCGACCTTTGGCACTCCCGCCGCTGATAAGCTGCAGCGATCGGCCTGCCGTGCCCACCGCATGTGCCCTTTTGCCATAGCACATGTCGCAAAGCCTGTCGCAAACCTCGCCTCAACCATCCACTCACTGCTTGCCTACCTAACCTATACTCTGCTGCATGTGCCTCCAACCCTATGCTTCCTCGCTCGCCTGTGTGCGTCTGTGTGCGCAATGTCGCCTACAAGCCCAATCTGCCGCTCTTGCACGCCCGTCCAAGTACTCTAGGCCTTGCACAAAGGCCCACTCGACTGCTGTCATCGAGATCTCGCTTGGGGGGGAAGGAGACGCCTTTGCTCTTTCCCTCTAGACCGCTCTCATCTAGTATACTCCGAGTCCGGTCACCCCACGGCCCAATCCAGCACGACTAGTATGAGTACGCTGCCTTCCAAGCTACAAGGCTGCAAGGCTGCGACAACACCAACAACAACAACAACAACATCGCGTGCTCTGATCCCTGAACAACGGCTATCTGCGCGTCGACTAGTTATTACAACCTGCGGGGGGCACCAGCGCTCGTATTCGTATCCATCCCGTAGCCGAGACGTGCCAGAAAGTGCAGAGTGAGAGCAAACAAGTTATACTTACTTACCTCCCGGCCTAGCACTACGCCTTCCGCTCCAACGCGACTCGTCCGATACACTAGAGTACTTTGCATCTGCGAAACCAAATGTCGTCCATCGAACGGCTGTTTGCCCGCCGCCGCTGCTATAGCACCCTCCCCTATTGCACAGGGAACGAGGCTGGTATCACCTTTGCAAGGCCCCCACAGCAATTACCTACTTGCGCGCTAACGTGTGAACGCCATCGCCCACCATGGCAAAGGAAATGAGCACTGCAATCTCGGAATAGAAACCTGCACCTTGCCCATCACTGCACATCCTCTTTTGAATCGCGTCCCAAAAGTCGACCGGTGGCGCATGAGTGCCACGTCGGCTTGCCAAGCTCCCATTCTCACCTTTTATCCCATCCAGTGCATAATTGAAACATTACAAGCCGCCGTTTTCCTTGATTCCACCCCTCCACCCCTCCACCCCTGGCCTCGCTCTTTCCGATAGCTGTTTTGCTTACCCATGCTTGTCGCTCTTCTGGTGTGCCTGTGTTCCTCTGTCTAGCCCGTTTCCGGTGCCCCTGCCTACCTTTCCCTCGGAGGCGGCGGCGGCCACCCCCACCACCAAGCGAGTCAACTTTTCCCTCTTGTCTTGTTCCTGACAGGTGGCGGCGGCACCACCAACTGCCCGGCAATGCTGAACGTGGCTGCCGGACAAGGGCTATCCCAAATTTGTGCGCGCACGCCTCGGCATCGGTACAGCAAGTGGGTATTAATCCATCCTTCGTCGTAGATCCTGCACACATCATTGCGCCGGCTCTTTTTTCTTCGCGAATAGAAAGTGGAAAGAAGAAAAAAACTTCATTTCGATATAGGCAGCAAAGTAGACCCCCCCCCCCCCCACTCTCCCCAATTCTAGGGTGGAGATTTGGGCCCCTCTCATCACCCCTGTACATATTCCCCCGAGTAGTAATCCGTTCGGTCGGCCGTTTTACAACACGCCATATTGACGTGTGTGCCTGTGAGGAAGAGTCCCTTTCACAAAAAAAAAGTAATCCACATAATCCATACACACACACACATACATACGCAACATGAGAAACAGAGACCAAACAAAGTTTCTCACCCCTCCCACCTCTCTTCTCCCCGCAATCTTCTCACACTCTCTCATCTCTCCCCCCTTGTCCGAATTCCCATGTCCGGACTTTCCATCTCACCGGCCTTAATATATCGATTCCTCATCTCATCTCATCTCATCCCCCCCCCCCCAAGTTCCCTCTTCCCGCTCGCAATCCTTACCCTACCAACATCCCATATCTACACCCCTCTCCTCCATCCATTCCTGTAAACCCTATTTTTACAAAAAAAAACAAGACATCGCGTGGTCGCGTGCCGAAAACCAAGGAATTCACAACCCTCCCCTTATCTCCGCCTCCCCCCGGGTCCCCAATCCATTTTCCCAATCGTCAAAACCGGAAAATAACTAAAGCCATCGCCCCATAAACTCTATCTTTTGTTCCCGTCATCCCCGCGAGTCTGTCCGTCTCGGTCTGCCCTGGTTTTTGTTTTTTTTTCATTCCCTTTCCACGGCCTTCCGCGGAATCACTTTCACACATTGCAAAGAGAGAGAGAGAGAGAGAGAAATTAAACAAAATTCTAACCATTTTTTCCCCTCGCTTACTTTGACCCTAAATACGGCTGACGGGTCCCCCTCCCCCTTAACCAAACTTTATACACATAGCTTCCCTCTCTTTCTCTTTGAAACTATGACCAATCCCCTCCCGGTTGGTATACAGTAGTTTGCCCTTCTTTTGCGCCCGTGGTGGTCGTCAAACTACGCATGCCACGGGAAATATAGCAGTAACCTTTGGGGGGGGGTTTTTTTTGGCGCGTCCCTCTCCCTAGATGTTGTTATACTTTGCTATTAATACGAGTCAACCCATTTTCACCTAAGACCTTCACATCATTTTTTTTTTTAAAAAAAACCCCTAGGCATGGCATTTCCCGGGGTCCCACTCCGCCGCTGACGTGTTTTTTTTTTCTCTTCTCGCTTCCGTGGCTGAGTAGTATGGGGCGGGTGACAATATGACTAAAAGGGCATTTGTGAGAGTCTGTGTTACTTTTACTGCTAATACAATAGAGTTTCTGTTTGTGACGTGCGCAACTTCGGGGAAGGGGACGGGGGGGGGGGCGGTGGCGGCATTTTTCGCCTTCCTCTCTCTCTCTCTCTCTCTCTCTCTCTCTCTCTCTCTGGCGTGTTTAGTATAAAATTGGGGGGGGGGGATAGGGGAACTTGATAGGTCCGCGGATTTACTTGTGTATGTGTGAGTGATATTATATGTGTTATGTGTGTATATATGGGAGGCATGAGACACGGGGAGCAAGGTTTCCATAGGATGATAGGTTGGTGTCATTCGTTTACTACTCTGGATAAAAACGTCTCATTGCCACCTCCCCTCCCCACCCCCTGTGTGTAGTATGCTGCTGGCAAGATGACGTTACTTTAGTCTACAGCCACATAGTAGTATTCTTGTAAAAGGGTAAATGGGCGAGAAGAAGTACAATGCAACTCTTACAAATAAAAACGTCCTACTCCTGCCCAATCACCTCAGCTCCATCACATCACATCAATCACACCGACTGTCACAAACAATCACCCGCATACTGTCAGTCCACATCAGGAAGAGCTCATGCATGTCAATTTCTGCCTCTCTCTCCTATCTCTCTCACACTTCTCCTTCTCAATGTCACAAAGGGCCACGATCATCCTCCACTCAACCACTAACAAAATATTCAATCACATGTCAAGCAAACATGCATACTCGCCACGTTGCTCTCCTTTTCGCCTCCAAAAAGCCTGTCCTGCCTCCCGCTCAAGACTCATCCCGGACATAACGGCTCGTTTTTTTCTCAAAACACTAGACAATCAAACATATATTGGTTTTTTTCTTTCTTGCAAACTCTCCATTGCTTGACCAGAGTGACCAGAAGAAAAGAAAGATAAAATAGCCTAGTTGTCCATGTAAGTGGCAGAGTTGACTCCGTCCTCGGGGAACTCGGGGAGTTCGACCTGGAATCGCTCCTCAATCGACTTGAGAACAGCCTCGTCCTCGGGGCTGCTCACGAATGAGATACTCAGACCCTTGGTTCCGAAACGTCCTGCACGACCGACACGGTGCAGGTATGCATCAGCCTTGTCGGGCATGTCGTAGTTGATCGCTACGTTGATGCGCTCAACATCAATGCCACGTCCGAAAATATCCGTCGACACACAGATACGTGTCTGGAACTCCTTGAACTCCTTGTAGCGCTTAATACTATAAAATCATCAGTACTGGGCAAAATCTTGCTCGAATAATTCAAACTCACCGCTCTTCTTGGCTAATGCCAGAGTGCACAGCAGTGCTGGGGAAGTTGCACTCGCGGAGAAGCTTGTCAAGCTCAGAGCAGCGCAGAGTGGAACGAACAAAGATGATAACCTGGTTGAACTCCAGGTTGTCAAGAAGGTCGTTCAGCTTGCGGTTCTTTTCCTTCTCGTCAAGCTTGACATAGTATTGCTGAAGACCGTGCAGCGTCAACTTCTTCTCGTCGTCGACGTAGATCTCAAGCGGGTTCTGCATGAACTTCTTGCAAACAACACGCACGTCCTTGTTCAGCGTAGCTGAAAACATCATGACCTGCTTATGCTGGGGAGTGGCACGGAAGATGGACTGGACATCGTTGCGCATGTCTAGAAGAAATTAGCGGACATAGTGCGGACAAAGAAGAAGTTACTCACCAGGCTGGTCAAGCATCTTGTCGCACTCGTCAAGAACAAAGTGCTTCAGGTTGGCAAGACGGAGGTGCTTGTCGCGAACAAGGGCGTTGATGCGACCAGGTGTTCCGACAATGATGTGGGGGTGGGTGTCCTTGTTGCTAAGGAGCTCAATGTCCTTCTGTACAGGTGTTCCACCGTAGAAGACACCGACCTTGACGTCTGGCAAGAACTTGGCGAAACGGTTGTACTCGTTGCGGATCTGGTAGGCCAACTCGCGAGTGTGGCACATGACTAGAATGGTGGCAACACCAGGCTCGGGCTTCTCGTCCATCTGCTGGAGGGTTGCGAGAACGAAGACGGCAGTCTTTCCGAGACCAGACTTGGCCTGACAAAGGACATCGTTTCCGAGGATTGCCTGGGGGATGGTAACTTGCTGGACTGTAGGGCACAAAGTATGTCAGAATAAGTCTAAAGCGGTCGAAACGAAGCGTAGGGATCGAAGCGTCCATCCATCTTGTGTAGTCGAAATCCTCCATCTAGCGCGCGCGTGCCAGTCTGTCTATCCTCCCAATATCCCATGAGTGCCCCCTCTTATGCATCCACCGCATGCGCTCCTCCACTGAAACCAGTCCCTGAGGACCATTGAAGCGGGCCGGCCAGGCACCGCTAGGCTTCTTGATGCATGTATTGGTGCAATCACATTTATAATGTGCGTCGAGGCTCGTACGTAGCGGAAGGCGCTGGGTCCCTCGCCACTTCTCTCGCGTATAGACAGACCATGGCCGCTTTCATTTTTTTAACAGACATGGCTCGTTTCGTAGATGGACAGACGCTTGTAGGTGGATAAGGCTGAGGGGAAATGATTAAACTAACCCTCGGAAGGATGTTCGAAGCCACAGTCGGTAATTGCTCGTACGAGCTCGTCCTTGAGCAGGAAGTCGCGGAAACCGGTAGAATGGATGCCGACATAGCTGCCCTTCTTGTCGCCAGCAGCATCACCAGCGGCGAGACCGCCCTTGGCCGCAGCCGCACCGCCGTTAGCGGGCGCCTCGGTGGGCTGGATCTCCTCGTCGGAGTAGTCAATGAGATCCTCCTCGTGAGACATGATGGATTATGTGTTGGTAACTGAAGGTTGGGTGTAGGGTAGAGTTGATGGTTTGCGCGTGTCGCAAAGCAAGGCTGATGAAGAACAAAGCCGGGTGGGATAATGTGCCGGCAAGCTTAGTATTATACGAAGGAACAACGAGAACAAGGAGCTCGGGTAATTGTTTCAAGGGTTGACAGCCACGCGAGGTCGACGTCGAGGGCGATTGTCGGTGAGGTTGGATGGTGGTGACGGTGGAGAAGAGCGGTCGCTGGGCGCTCATGTTAGGTAAAAAGCTTGGGACACCTGGCTGGGCGCGCCACTAGGCCGCAAACGGACGGCTCAGAAATCATAATCCAGCAAACCTTTTGTCTTTCATTGTTGGCCAATGAGATAAAAATTGAGCACGCGCACGTGGGCATACAAACATATGAAATACGAGTAAAAGAACGGTCCGAGTCACTGCATCGTCTGCAAGCAGCCAACACATCCGCCGTACTTTGCTTGTCAGACAATCAAGATAGCATCATGAGCAAGGTCAAAGCCCCAAAGGCAAAAGGCATTCCGAACAAGCACCTGCACGCACGTTCATCTTTCCTCTACCAAGCCGCCACGTACTTGACTTTGCAAACGGCCGAGGCAACTGATACACCACAAGGCAAACAGCCAGCACCCAAGTCGCCAAACCGCTTCTCACTTGCACTCTCACTCAGCTCCGACCTCCAGCAAGTCTCGCGAAAAGGCCAACTACGTCTCGCCGTCTCCCTAAAGCGGACGCTGTGTAAAAGCTGCAACAGTGTCCTTGTTCCCGGGCGCACTACAACTCACAGGATTGAAAATGCAAGTAAAGGTGGCAAGAAACCCTGGGCTGATGTGCTGGTTGTCATGTGCGGTGTGTGCGCCGGCGAGAAACGGTTTCCAGTCGGTGCGGCGTCGAAGTTGAAGAAGGGGAAGAGGGAAACGGCGAGTGCGGTAGAGACCCCGATGACTGGGGAGGATACGCCAGTGCTTACGGGGACGGAATGAGTGCGGGTTGCCGTTTGCAATGACGGATTTATTTCACCTCAGCATGATTTCGCTGTTTTGACACTGCCTCCTGTCAGAAGCCTTGCTCTGAACGCGACTCCCGTTCTATTACTCGACTCGGATCTTTTGTGTCGCCTATAGAGTTCAAGATCATCTGACCAGGAGCATATTACGACAAAATTGTTTAAGTCACGATGTGGACATGGCGGCGAATGTCCAATTCAGAATCGATAGAGTAAGCCATGACCATGGTGCGTCATCTCGAAGTCATGAGCTTTTTGAGGAAGATACCCGATACGGTACATGGTGGACTGCCCATTGGTACAAGCGTACGGGAATTATGCAACAATCAGCAACATCAAGATACCGAGTACTAACAGTACTCCACAGCCTTGGTTCAAATCCCAAAACACAGCTACATATCAAGACAGTCAATGGAATCATATTGTCACAAGTACCCAGTAATCTAACGAAGGAACTAAGCTTCGTCTGGGATATCTATTTTTTATTTTCGCCTCTCAGACTGTCTCGATATACCTCCGGACTTCCCAGTCGGTCACTGCTTCGTCCCACAGTCTAATCTCGTGCTGTCTTGTGCCGCCAAAGTGGTCGACAAACTGATCTCCAAACACTTCCCTGGCGACACTTTCCTTGCGCATAAAGCGCTCTGTCGCCTCCTTCAAGCTCTTTGCTAGTCTCTCACCCTTGTCAGACTCACTGCCGACATCCTCGCCCTTTCCGAGGGGCGGTATGCTGATTCCCATCTTCTTCTCGATACCTCGCCAGCCAAGTGCCAAAATGGCGGCAAGCACAAAGTGAGGGTTCGTGTCTGCACCAGGTACGCGGACTTCGAACCGAGTGGCTTTCGGGGAAGAGGTAGGGGGTGAAATAAGGCGGATAGAGGCGGCGCGATGCTCGAGTCCCCATGATACAGTGACAGGTGCCCAGAAATTCTCAACTAGCCTCTTGTAACTGTTGACATTGGGTGCGAGGATGGGCATAATGTCTGGAAGACCGTCGATTAGGCCTGCAAGGAAATGTCGACCCAGGTCTGATAGATATCGGATGTCTGAGTAGGGCGCGTTCTTGTCCTCTTCTTCGCGGTAGAACAAGTTCTTGCCATCGGCGTCTACAATCGACACGTGCATGTGCCCGCTGTTACCCGGAAGACCTTCGCGCGGTTTTGCCATGAAGCATGGTGTTATTCCGTACTTGGATCCGAGAGATTTGACAACGAGTTTGAAAAGGGAAGCCTTGTCTGCCATTCTCTCGATTGAGCCAAACTCAAGGGCCTGTGGTGTATTAGTTATGAATTCCTTGTTCCACAGTGTAGTAGGTATCGCTTACAGCTTCGAAGACTCCAGGACCAGACTCGGTATGCCATCCCTCGATGCCACAGTCGAATTCGGCGCAGGTATTGAAAATACTATAGTAGTAGTCCTGGTTGTGGACCGGTCGAGTGATGCTGTATCCGAACATGCCTTCTGTAAGGCTTGGCAGGGCGTCGACTGGATTGTTGCGCAAGAAGGAAGCCGTACTCGAAGTGTTCTTTTCCGATCCATCGTGGCTTTGAGGTGCGCGGAATTGGTAGAATTCGTATTCGGCTGGACAATACACATCAGCTTCATTAAAGACGCGCAGTATCCGATCTCCCGCCGGCATGCGACTCACCTCCAGCCATGGCGCCATAGCCTTTGTCCCTGAGCTTGTCGACGGTACGTTTTAACAGGCTTCTTGGGCATGCGCTCAGAGTGCCTTTGGTGTCGGGATCGTGGAAACTAATGAGGAAGAAGGGTACATTGTTCTCCCACGGTATTCTTCGGAAAGATGTGAGATCCGGTATGGCGATCAAATCACGGTAGCCGTTCTCCTTGTTGGATATGGCCAGTTCTTTAAAGTATGTCTGGTCGTGCATGTCCCAGCCGAAAATGACACTGCAGAAGCCGAAGCCGTCGTTGGCAATGCTGAGGAACTTCTTCTTGGCCATGAGCTTTCCACGTAGAATTCCATCGACGTCGATACCCGCGACTTTGACTGACAAGTCATCTTTGAGAAGCTCGGGCAACTGCTCGGCCGTCAGGTTAGAGGGGTCGAAGTCGGCGGGCATGATGTCGAGGGGCGAGACAGAGAGGACCAGGTGTTGAGAGTCGGTGTGAGTGAGACGGGAGAGTTGACGGACGGCCAGCAGAAGAAAATACGAGCGCCGGCGCAATCAGGTTTTCAAGCAGGCACGCGACGAGGGACAGCTTGACGCAGCGAAAGGCGGTCCGGATGCGATAGAGCTTGGACCAATGAGGGGTGATGATGGGATGCGGGCTGGCGACATCATCGATTCGGCGTGCAGACGCGCAACTACTATATATTGCATTTTCCGCCCCTCTGCTATCTTCCACCCTCCTGCACGACATCCCTATCCAATACCCAATGCGACAAAGATAGCTCCCCATGCGACTCCCGTGATAAGCCGCGAGACGCCAGACCTACCGCACAGGGCTGCGCGTCACGTCCGAATGGCGGGGCAACCCACCCTCAAGTTACGTAGAATGGCCGTCCGGAACATGGGTGCAAGTATGCTCGAGCCATTCAAGCAAGGCTGCCCTAGTGAAGCCGTCGACCGCTCCAACAAAAGCCCGCCCAGCCGTGACAGCAGCAAACGTGCTCTAATAGTCCTTATCGTCGACTATCAATGCCCTGGGCCGATTCTCGGACCCGTGACTATCTGAATGACCGGTTCACTGCCCGTGATTACCCGTCCATCGCCTCCCCTCCCTCTTCTCCTTGGAGCCGCCGACACTCTCATACGCCAGTACATACTCCAACCTCCAACTCAAAGGTAAGTGCGGAGTCGTCGTCCCTGTTGCCCGACGGCTGGCATACTTTCCCCATTCACGATGCAGTGTGCTGTTCGCATGACGCTTTGTCTAGTTTATATTAGTCATATTTCGCAGCTTGACACAAAACTTTGCCTTGCCCACATCAACCATTGACACCATTGCAGCCTCTTTGCTACACATAGTACCTGAGTAAGCGTCGAGTCGAGAAATTCAACATGGGCCGTCTGGAGAACAAGAACTGCATCATTACTGGAGGAGCTGGGTAAGCAAACATCTTCTATTCGCATATGCCACCACCCCCATCAATATCCTCAATTCTTCCCTTATATCAGCTTGATGGCGCTGCCGAGTGCGATTTTTCTTGCTTGTTTTGCTTGCTGGATGACACATGACATTCATCGCCATGTAATGGTGCATAGTCACAGCGCATACATCAGCCCCACGTCCGAAACCGCATACTGACCATTTGCAGTGGAATTGGTCTCGAGACTGGTATTCTTTTTGCCCGGGAAGGCGCCAATGTCCTTCTCTCTGATATTTCTGGCCCGGCCTTGGAAAAGGCTGCTGCCAAGCTGAAAGAGGTGGTTCCAGAAGCCAAGAAAGTTGAGACCAAGGTCACCGATGTATCCAAAGAAGCCGATGTCCAGGCTATGATTGAGCACGTGGATTCATGGGGCGGTGTAGATGTCCTGTTCAACAACGCAGGCATTATGCACGCCAACGACGACGATGCTGTCAACACGCCTGAGAAGATCTGGGACTTGACCCAAGCCATCAACGTAAAGGGTGTATGGTTTGGTTGCAAGCACGCAGTCAACAGCTTCAGAAAGCACGGCAAGAAGAAGACGAGCGTCATCAACACCGCCAGTGTGGTTGCATTGGTGGGTAGTGCAACACCACAGCTCGCATACACAGCAAGCAAGGGCGCGGTTTTGGCCATGACCAGGGAACTAGCAATGGTCCACGCACGTGAGGGCTTCAGATTCAATTCGCTGTGCCCAGCACCATTGAAGTAAGCTTCTCCATGTGCCATGTTGGGTCTTTGAAATGCTAACCAATGCAGCACACCTCTCCTTCAAGACTGGCTCGGTGACGACAAAGAGAAGCGTCACCGTCGCGAAGTCCACTTCCCCACAGGCCGTTTTGGCGAGGCCGTTGAGCAGGCCCAAGGTGTCCTATTCCTTGCCAGCGACGAGAGCAGCTTCGTCAACGGAACTGACTTTGTCATTGACGGTGGCATGACCAAGTGCTACACTACGCCTACTGGGCCTCCCCTGGATGCGCCCAAGAACAACGCAAAATAAGTGCGGATTGGGCGTTGTGAATGAAAAGCGACAGTTAGGCTGCGAGGAAGTACATAGGCAGTCATGTATAGCAATGATGAATAACGGATGAATGATACCACCATATATATCAAGCGTTGATCCGAGTTTTGTATTGATTGAAATGACGTGTGAAGTCATGGTTTGGAGTCGCTTGCAGATGACCACGCGTTTTAGCGCCATTCCCGAGCTTTGTGTCAGGGTCCAACGTTGCATTTTCCTGAAGCGACATACGCGACTTCTAGCCGCATGCGCGCCATCCTGCCAGCATGGATCGTATTACCGCACGCGCTGACAACGACTTCAATGTTGTTTTGTATGGCACGCTCTGGATAGCTGCCCTTTCTTTCATCTGGCTCACGTGCCGTGCAGATCCAGAAGAGCCCGTCGAATACACCGTCGAAACACCCCAGGAAGCCGAGAAGGGATGGAAGGGCAAAGTGCTTGATGAGCCTGGATTGAAGGTACAGAAAATCAGCTCAAAATTTACAGATGCAAACTGACTTGTTTTAGGTTTCTGGCTCTTCACTAATCCAATGCTACGCCCCCGCAACTGGTGAAGCCCTCGGGCGCATCAACCCCTCCACCGCAGACGGTATCGACCGTGCAATCGCCAAAGCCAAAGACGCCCAGGTGAAATGGGCACAGACAAGCTTCCGCCAGCGCCGCAAGGTGCTGCGTACAATGTTCCAGTTTATCCTCGAAAATCAAGAGGTCATTGCAAGGGTTGCCTGCCTCGACTCTGGCAAGACTATGGTGGATGCTAGTTTGGGTGAGATACTCGTGACTGTGGAGAAGCTGAGGTGGACAATTAAGCACGGAGAAAAGAGCCTGAAGTCTGAGAAGAGGGACACAAACTTCCTCATGATGTACAAGTGGAATGAAGTTGTCTACGAACCGCTGGGCGTAGTTGCGGCCTGCGTGAGCTGGAAGTGAGTATTGCATAATCGTTAACAGCGAAGCATTTCAGCTAACATGGTTCTAGCTACCCTTTTCACAACCTCATCAGCCCCGTCATAGCCTCCATTTTCGCCGGCAACGCCATCATCGTTAAAGGCTCTGAAGCTACTGCCTGGTCGTCCTCATACTTCGCTTCTATTGCTACCCGTGCTTTGGAAGCGTGTGGTCACTCGCCTGATATTGTGCAATCCGTTGTCTGCTGGCCTGACGTCGCTGACCACCTCACCTCGCATCCATCAATCTCGCATATTACATTCATTGGCTCACGCCCAGTGGCACATCACGTCTGTGCCTCGGCCGCAAAGGCACTAACACCAGTGTGTGTCGAACTCGGAGGAAAGGACCCGGCCATTGTTCTCGACGATATATCAAATAGCGATTTTAAGCGCATCGCTAGCATTCTCATGCGCGGTACCTTTCAGTCTGCAGGCCAGAACTGCATCGGAATCGAGCGTGTCATTGCACTTCCAAAAGTTTACAATCGCCTCATCGAGTACCTCACGCCAAAGATCCGTGCCCTACGTCCGGGCTCCATATTGAACACTTCATCGGACGTGCCGATTGATGTTGGGGCTTCCATCTCCGATGCAGGCTACTCCAAGCTTGAAGGCCTTATTCAAGACGCTGTCAGCAATGGTGCTCGTGTCCTGGCAGGCGGAAAGCGTTACGCTCACCCCGACTTCCCCAAAGGTCATTACTTCAGTCCTACCTTCATCGTCGACGTCACACCCAACATGAAAATCGCCCAGACGGAGCTCTTTGCACCAGTCTTCCTACTCATGCGCGCCGAATCCGTCACAGACGCCATTTCCATTGCAAACAGCACCTCATACGCCCTCGGTTCCTCGGTATTTGGCTCTTCCAATCGCGACCTCGAGCTCATCGTGCGCTCCTTGCACGCCGGCATGGTCGCCGTTAACGACTTTGCCGTCTACTACATGGTGCAGATGCCGTTTGGCGGCACAAAGGGTAGTGGCTATGGTCGTTTCGCAGGAAAAGAAGGGCTAAGGAGTCTGTGCAATCAGAAGAGTATTACGAGGGATCGCTGGGCGTGGGCGGGGATCAAGACGGGCATTCCATCTCCGATGGACATTCCACTGCAGGGTGAGGGTGCGGGGGTCAAGGCGTGGAATATGGCACAGGGAATTGTGTGGTTGGGGTATGGAAACTTGAGGGGTAAGGCTAGAGGGTTGAAGGGGGTCCTGGGGATGTAGAAGGGAGTTGCTTCTCATTGACAATGCCATGATGTCTACCTGAGATATTTCAACAAGTAAACCTAATTTCCGGCTCTTGAAGGTAGTAGGGATTTGGTGTCGCGGGGCTGGCGGGGTCGGTCCGGCCCTGGGCTTGTTAGACTACAACGTCAGGTACAGGGTGATGAGGAGAGAGGGCTGAGTGTATTATGTCCAGGGTTGTGTAATGAGGAACAAGGCCCTTGAGTTCCTACTTTTCAAATATAGCAAACCAAGCTGGTGACCTGACGGGCGGGTTACGGCTGTGGTTGCCATTGGATGCCAAGCCATTGACCACTTTACGCGTCGACGCGTCTGCCCAGTGCACGCTGCGCCAACTTTTACATTCCCACCAACACTTTCACAAACCACAATCACCCAATGGCGCTTTTAGTAGACAAGCATCGGCCGCGTAACCTTGAAGCGCTCAGTTATCATCCTGAGCTTTCAGATCGCCTGCGAGCTCTAGTAAGGAATCCAAGGAGAGCACTTCGCATATGGGCTGTGCCTAACGCATTACACTATAGGCACAAAGCGGCGACTTCCCCCATCTCCTCGTATACGGCCCTTCTGGAGCAGGTAAGAAGACGCGTATCGTCGCAACCCTCAAAGAACTCTATGGCCCCGGTGTTGAAAAGATCAAAATCGATGCACGTGTCTTCCAGACTACCACGAACCGCAAGCTCGAATTCAACATTGTCGCTTCCGTATACCACCTCGAAATTACGCCATCAGATGTTGGAAACTATGACAGAGTAGTGGTGCAAGATCTGCTCAAGGAGGTTGCGCAGACACAGCAGGTCGACTTAGGTGCAAAGCAACGCTTCAAGGTTGTCGTCATCAACGAGGCCGACCATCTGACCAGAGATGCCCAAGCAGCATTAAGGCGAACCATGGAAAAATACAGCCCTAACTTGCGATTGATCCTGTTGGCAAATTCGACGAGCAACATCATTGCCCCCATCAGAAGTAGAACGCTGCTTGTCAGAGTTGCAGCGCCTACCGAGGCTGAGATCTGCGATGTGCTAAGCAAAGTGGGAAAGAAGGAGGGATGGAAGGATGTTGAAAGTTTACATCAGAGGATAGCGAAAGACAGCGGACGTAACCTTCGAAAGGCACTTTTGATGTTCGAAGCAGTGCATGCCCAAAAGTACGTCCTTGTTACCTCTTTACACACCCAATAGCTGCATCTAACACCGGAATAGTGAGAAGATTACAGATCAGACACATATCCCACCTCCCGACTGGGAAGCGCTCATCGAGCAGATTGCCCGCCAAATCGTTGAAGAGCGCTCTCCCCAACGGCTCCTTCAGGTTCGCGCTTCCCTTTACGATCTTCTATCGCACTGCATCGACCCAACGACTATCATCAAAACCCTTACCTGGAAACTCATACCAAAGACGGATGATGCACTGAAGCCAGAGGTCATCAAATGGGCGGCCTTCTATGAGCACAGGTGTAAAACGGGTGCTAAGCATATATTCCACCTTGAGGCGTTTGTTGCCAAGTATATGAGGCTATACGAGAGGTATGTAAAGATTGGGGGAAGCATTTGCAATTCACATATGAAACTAACAATCACCGCAGCTATTCCATGGGCTTGGACTTCGATTCCGCATAATAGAGGGGGAAATATCACCGGGCACCATTATCAAAATAAGTAGAATAAGAATCAGGCATAGGCAAACTTAGCGTGAGGTGTTCTGGCGTTGTTGAGCGCGTTTCCCGTACCGACGTCTGGTAGTTACGTCATAAGCTATTATCGAACCTACCCAAATAACCTCGAGCTCTCCGAGCTTCAACTACACTACATACCACACATACCTTCTGAACCAACTAACATACTTGTGCCTTCTCATATCTACTCAACAATATCCCATTCATCATGTCAGACAAACTCATGGACACTGAAGTTGGCGGCGAGCAAACCCAATACGAAGGCATCCACACCTATGTCGAACCACACGACAAGAAGTACGGCCAATTAAGCAGTATGTTGCCCCTCTATCTTCCATAATGCACCTCACTAATCCTTATCCCCTTCCCACAGACTCTTCAGAAGGCACATCAGTCCACGCAAAGACCGCGGATCCTGGCGCCCCAAACACGCATGGTATCACGCCTGCAGATAAGATCCGCTACGGCCAAAGCATTCAGGAGGGTGGCATGGGCGGCAAGACGACATCGTCAAGCGGGCATGCAAAGGCAGACACGGGATTTGGAGGTACGAAAGCGCTAGCCGATGATGACGAGGGCGCAGCGAAGCAGAGGCGGGAGCAGGGGTATGGGGGAAGTAAAGATATGGATCGAACCATTGGTGCATAGGTTTAACTAAAGTACAACTGGGATACATATGTACTTGTACAATAATGATGTAAAACGTGTCTAGTCTAAGATGTATTTCCTTCTCGTGTGTATTTCCAAACGCCAACGCTATGCGACAAAGATCCCCGGGAATAATCGTACATGTAGCGTAAACAGATGAGGAGGGATATCTGAGCAGAGATGTAACAGAAAAGCGGAAGTGTTCAAACAAGTCCTCCGAAGAGTTGGGTAGAGAAAAAAAAGGGAAAAAAGCCCATATCAGAATCTCTTCGCGTCATCTCCTCTGGCATCACCCTTTGCCATCTTCCGTGCCATTGCCCTCTCTCTTTCTAGGACACTGGTAAACGTGTCCATTCGCTTTGGCATACCAGTTAGATCCGCTCCTGTAGGCATAATACTGTCTCCCCTACTGACACCATTCCTGCTGCCTCCACCCCAAGCCCCCAGACCCCATCCTCCTCCTGCAGCTACTACTGGTCTCGTCGGCTCCCGAGTAACGAGCGCACCAGGGCCATGTCCGTACATGCTCACTCTCTGGACTTTGCGCAGGCGAAGCAAGCCGTAAACTGCGACGAGAGCGCCGAACACGGAGCACCAAGCACTGATGCCATAGAAACCGTAGTCCGATTCTTCAATAAAGTTCTTGAGATTCATGCCGTAGAGGGCTGCGACAAAGGTACCAGCTGTGATTGCGAGGGTGAGGATGGAGAATTTGAGGTCGAGAAGCATAAGCGAGTTGCGGTTGGCGTCTAGAATGGCTTTGACACTGTATAATACTGTTAGTAACGCTATGAAGAAATTGGGTGAAGAGGGGAAGGTTGCATACATTTCCTCTGTGTTCCTGATGCTCGATACCAAGTTCTCGGCTGCCTGCACAATTTCATCGGCGACCTTATGGTACGATTCCAGGAGCATCTCGACTTCGGTGTGATCGTCGTCTTGTCGTACCTTGCCCTCTGCCTTTTCAGTCAAGTACATGGCGCTGAGATCATCGTCTGCTTCGAGTAATTCTTCCAGTGCGTTCCTAACCAATCGTGCTTTTTGCTCAAAACTGCCCAGCTTCTTGCTGTAAATCAGCAGATATCTGAGCTTGTCTCGGTCAATGTCTTCCTCAAGTTCCCGGAGGACTCTCACAACTGGTTCGCTGACCCCTTCGAACTCCTTTTCCAAGCTTAAGGTTACGCTGATCAGGACGGCTTCTAGTGCGCGAAACTCATATGGAAGGGTGCCGTTGAGGGTCGATTCTTTTTGACGGAGCCGTAGGTCGAGATCGTACATGAAGACTGACTGCGATTTCGAATCTGTAGTGCCGTATGCGTCAAATACGAGGACTCGATTGTGCTTCAGTAATACGCGGAGATTGAGGAGGTTTATGAGAATCGCAGATGGTCGGACTAGAATATGTGGGAGGAGCGAGGAGTCGATTTTGCGAAGGTCGCGCGGGAGAAGACCATACTATTACGGGCTGTCAGCTATGGTGTGTCGATGTGTCATACGCCATATGTACCTTTGCGATCAGTTCGCTCTTCTTAAATTCTCCGCTGACCAGCGTGACGTTGCCGTGCTCGTCCAATTCCGTACAGCGCATCTTTAGCTCGTTGGTCGGCCGCATTATACGTCCCAGACTACTTCCGAATCCTGAAGAACTAGAGGACGAGTCGTCTGGTGGTGGGGGCGGCGGTTGCAACTGCGCCAGCTTTCGCATTTTTGCACTATTAAAAATGTTCCATCCATTGTTGGCACGAGTTGTGGAAAAAGACCGATAGGTAAAGCAATCGACATGCTGCAACGAGGTGGGCGGGGTGTGTCGGAGAACAAGCAAACGGTCTTGAGGTGGAGAGGATGCTTTGTGTTCGATCAGGCACCTAGAGGAAACAAATCTTTTGTCGCTAGAAAAGTCTCCCTTCTGCAAGTGACTTGTAACTCTTCCAAACGAACATTTCCCCGGGCTCCTGCCTATCTGACTGCCGATAGCATAACCGCAACATTGCCGAGTGGTGTGGGCGCATTGCGCAATAGGTGATGCGAAGACATTATTGACCTGAGCTCGCAGGAAGCTCAAAACCGACGGCGATGGGGCGGCAACTCTCTGTATCAGAGTTGTCTTCATAACTTTCCAGTGGAGTCAATATGTATGCGGAATCGATCCATACGGTCGTTGATCAAATCTTTTGCTTGAGCCTTGCCTGCACGTCATAGCGTTTCCGCGCTCCTGGAAAATCATTTGGCGCTAGTGACGTCACGTGCACAATCGTATCTGCACATGTGTGTATCCCGGGTCGTGGGAACCCAAACTCATACATGCCGTTCTTGACTTTTGGACGACTCAAATAATAGAATGCCTTGTCAGCTGTACAACGCGCTAATTCGAACGCACCACATCACTTCACGCAAGAAAGTTGCCAAACTCAAAGCGGCAGCGTCGAATTGCAATGTGTACGCTTTACTGAGGAGTGGCGGATGCCCTGGCATCATGTACTGCCAAGGCGCAGAGACTGGCGTGAGAGACTGGGTTGCGAATGTCCAAAGATTGCGCTACAAAGATTTTCAACTAGTCAAGAAGCCTGCTGAAAAAGAAACTGGCGGAAAGGATACAGAGAGTGGCATCATGTACGGGAAGCTAGAGGAGGTGGACAGTGTAAAGGATTTTGGAGCAAAGATGGAGAGTTTAGGTATATGGGAATGGTGGAGGAAAGGGATGGGCTATGTGGGAAACGACTGATTTCACACTTGTCATTCAACACGTATGTGTGATGTGTTGCTCGTCATTGTCTTGCTGTATTTGTTTCTAGCAAACCCTCTCCTGATACTACTATACGCGTTTAGATATCTGAACAACATCCTCCTCGTTCTCCAACACAACCGTCATTCCTCTTGCCATCTTGTTGGCTTCCCGAGCAGACCCTGCTCTCCACTCCCCACTATGCCAACCCTCCATCTCCGTAACAAGAGGTATGATAGCCGAGCCTTTCCATGCCACTACCCCTTTCCTCCAGCTCTGCAGCAAAGTAGCAACAAGAAAGGCAATTCCCATCGCCACCTAAACAATGGGCAAGATGATCCACCCCCAATTCACATACACATACTGTTTGAATGTGATTGCCTCGCCTGCTAATTTCATACCGGTTGGACTCTGACCAAGAGCATACGTAATGCTATCACTCATGCTTTCCATAGTCTGCGTGAAGTCTGTAACGTTGTTCAGCACTAGGCCGAAAAGGTCGGCCTTTGAAGAGGAAAACACCATGTTGAGGAATTCCATAAGTTTAGTGTTGTCGGTTGGAAGAACGCTGAAGCTTTTGTTCCCGGGAAACGTTTCGCTTTCGTTGGAAACGTTAAAGGTAACCCAGTGATTTGAATTGAAAGTGTTGACAACACCGATGAGCTCGTAGTCTGTGGCGATGCCAGGATGAAATGTACCATTTGAAAAGGTAGTGTTTTGAACAAGGCGAGCAACCCAGCACATGCTACACTCGGTAATGTCCGGCCTTTCTTCGCTAAATAGCGCCGACATTTTTGCGGCGGCGAATTCCGATAAGGTGCTATTGAGTAGTTCGCCAAGGTGGCTGGTCATTTGTGGTGGATTTGTGGTGCTGTTGAATTCAGTCGAACGGGTATCGCCGGATGAGGTGGATGAATAAGATGAAATGAAGAAGTCAGACGGCGTTGTATAGTTGCAACGTTTAGAGCCTCGCGAGAATTCACAATTGATTCTGTTGCTTGATGTAACGTTTCTGCACTCGCTCGTCACAGCCACAGTTGTGAAATCCTCCCACTGACAGTTACCAGTCTGGCATTGGACTGGGATAGGTGCGCTGAGATTGTATAGACCATTGAGAATGGCGCCTTGCATTTTAGGATCCATTGTTCTTTCTAAATTTGAAATTAACAAATGGTCTACTGCCGGTATCATACGAGATGCCTGTGTCAAACCATAGCCTGCGCCAGTGTCATAAATTTGATTTCTGTAAAAGGTAGCTCTGGATCTCTAGGGGTACTCTCTTGAAGGATACGAAAGTAGCTGTTGAGACGGTGGACCCATGGTAAGAGATACAATGGTGATGAGGGCATCCCACGTAGCCAGTTTGGTTTTGAAATGAAGGGTGAAAATAAGTGTCAGCGAGCCCCATGGCCCACGACTGGCTTCATCGAGGATCTGATACTCATGTAAAGGCCGCAGTGAGCTTACTAGATGTATCCATTTGAGCTGGCTGATGCATGATGCAACTGGGACTATGAGTGCAGTCCTGGAAAGGGTCGAGAGTAGGGCAACCAGTGTGTTGAGCGTGATGTTGTGATAGAAGTGCCAACTGGATAGTGATTTTCCTTGATACTTCCTTACAATAACGATGACTGCAATAACACATGCGATACTGAAAATTGCAGCAATAAAATCCCAATACCAGTCTCTGAGGTTTAGCTTTCTGAAATAGCTCAGTTGTGTTCGCTATATTTTTCAGTAGTCTGCTCTTTTGCAGGCGCGGGGTTTAGCAACGCCTCTGCGCTCGCATCGTATTTTGAGGCATCGTGTGTCTTTTCCTGCCCGGAAGTACTGTGAAGTGGCGAGATCGTTCTTGGTGATGCACTTGGTTGGAGGGACTCGTCGTGGTATGGAGGCCTATCATAGCCGTTTGAAGATGTCATTTTGGCAAAGATGGTTGTGAAGAACAACAACAGCCTGCTGCTCCTGAATGATTCAACGACTTGTAGGGGGCTGAGAGCGATATTATACGCAACATAGCCCCGTGTGTAAGTGCGAATGCGATGGGGGCCAAAAGTCAGCTGTGTACTACCATAGGTCAAGGGTTTGTTAGGCATCCACACTACGATCGATCAGGTCCCCGAAGCTAATATCGCTGCATCTTGGAACGATCCGTACTATAGATAGTAAGACTAGATTTTGTGGCCTTCGAAAATGACGATAGGGTCACAAGAGCGATTAGCTATGAGCATTCTGCTTTTTTGCTCCAATTTCTTCTTCACGTTGTTCTTTGTTCTTGCAACTTTTACGCAGCCTAGTCGTGTATACTAGTACGTAAAGTGTTTTGCATCTAAGCTTTTATTTCCGGGGAGATCGTCATGCTTAGCACTTCATCATCCCGAGACGGTGCCCCAAATTGATCTTTAGTGAAGCTTGAACACTTTTTACTCTTGATTTTTTACCGGAACCTCGATGGTAGATAAAAAGAGAAATTAGCTCCTAAGACTCGCTCTATGCGCAAGTAGGTTTCCCTTAAGGATAGAAGTGCGCTATCTCATGTATTATTTGGCTACGTGGCGGTGGGTGAAGAACCTGTCTTTTGTTTTAGAGGATGAAGACATGTTCTAGAAAATAGCAGTTATAAATCCACAATTTTATAATGAAATAGTAAGATAGTACAAGCTTGCGACCAGTTGGATGTCAAAATCATGTGTTGCACTCGCAATTGATATATTTACTTACTTTCTCAATCATCACAATTCTATTTTCACAGTCCGCTAACACGGCTCTAACCGACCCTAAGTAATGATTTTCAATCCTAATATATGAGTTTTTATAGGTACATAACATATTAGTGTGAGTCGAGACAAACCTCTAAGGAGCTACCTAAGGGTTGACCTTCCTAGGCACCAATTTAGAGTATTGTGATAGGTAGGTGCTTCAGCAAGAAGCCAGAAACTTCGATCAAGTTCAAGTTCATATGTATAAAAATAAGGTTCTTTAAATAGCGATGCATTTTAAACTCACTCCTAAAATCGACAAACATAGCTCCAAACGCCAACCGGCTTTTCACACTTGATCTGTCTAATATGGGGCAGCAGGCGCAACGTTCTGAACAGCGAAGCCAAAAAAAAAATCAACACAACAAAAGACAAGAAAAATGTTGCCAATTTGCCATCCCACCCAATCACTTCATTGTATTGTCCAACATCTTACACTCTGAGCATCTCCATCATAAGTCTCAACGCAAAGTTATCATCGCCAAACTTCTTCTCCAAACGACCAACCTCATTGTCAAGCTTAGTGTGAAGCTCACGGAGCACCTCAAGGGTGTACTCCAGACTCTGTGTCTTCTTCATGATATCGAGGATCTCACGCTTAGCCTCCTTCGTAAGCTTACCCTCGATGCGCCTCTTCATCAGCAGCGACTGGAGCTGCATCTGCTCACCGGCGAGCGAGGGATCGGCCTCAAGGGCGCGGATGCAGTGAACAAGTGTGAAGGAGTACTTACCCTCATCAAGGTCCTCGGCGAAGCCCTTTTGCTGCGCGTACTCCGCAGACATGAGGTTCTGGTAGTCGTTGCGGATCTGGAAGAAGCTGCCGATGAGGCAGCCGAGGGGGTTGAGCTCAGAGTCGGATATTTGGCCGTTGAGCGGTGACTCGGCAGTCATGAGGCGGGTTAGCATGCGGAAGAGGCCGCCGGTCTTCATGTCGACCATCCTGAGGTACTCGCCGAAGGTTGGGCAGATGATGTTGTGGGTCCAGTAGAGTTCGTAGCTCTGGCCGATGTAGAGCTCGTTGATTTCCTCATTGAAGATGCGGAGGCACTCTGGGTTGCTGAGGCCGCCGGCGAGAGCGATGGCATGCGTGATTTGGTAGGTTGCGCTGTTGATGGTTTGCGAGGCGCCATAGACGTTGTGAGTTGAGGGCTTGCCGCGGCGGAGGGGGGAGTTGTCCTCGAGATCGTCAAGCCTAGGGCGGGGTTAGAAGAGAGTTCATTTTAGGATGTTAGAATAAGGGAACTAACATGAGGGATGCAGTGTGAAGCATGTTGATGATCTCCTTAATCTTTTGAGTGGCTTTGGCAGGGGTTTTGAGCCATTTGTTGATGGAGTCAATGGTTCGGTCACGGAATCCATTTGAGGGCATGGAGGTGATATAGGCATAGGGTTGAAGAATGACCTGAGATGCATTATTAGCTACAGTCTTTGTGGAGGCTTCAATTTTCTGATAAGATGTTATAGAAAACTTACATCAGCGGTCAAGTTAGGGAGGTCGGTGCTAAGAGCTAGCGACACTACCTCGTTCAGTTGGAGTGAATCCACGCCAACTCTCGAGATAGTGGGCTTCTTGACACAATTGGTGCCATTCATTCCGTTAGTTCCATTGAAGCTATGCCTTTTCCTCTTTTCGCCCCTTTTCTCGCCCTGTGTTGAACCCTTCTTCCAGAGGTGGTCCATGGAGCCATCGGCTGGTGGGAAAGTTGTTGGGTACTTGGCTACACCATACTTCGCTCGCAGCATCTGGAGCTCATTCCACCTAGCCTTCAGGTTGTATCGTGGGCACTGAGCACTCCAAACAACATCACCGGAAAGGATGTACTGCATGGCGTCGATGTATCGCTTGGTATCGTCCGAGAGGTCAGGTCGCGTCTTGGTGTCCTTGACGATTTGGGCAAATTTGGCCATCTCTTGTCGGATACGCGCCTTGAGAAGCTCTCTGCCTTCTGCTTCGTCACATCCATGCTCCTTCATGATAATGTAGACTGCATTTTGGATGTTGGTATCATTATTCTTCTTCTCGAAGGAGAACAGATCGTTGACGAGCGAAGCAGCAGACAGGGCCGGGACGAGAAACTCGGTGCACAGTGCCTGCTCCTCAGGGGGGATGGTGATGGCGCATCCGAAGGTGACCAGGCCATACCAGAGCATGTATCTGGCATCGTGACTTCTGTAGGAGATGTACTCATCAACAGTCTGGAAGTTGGTCAATTCCTCTCGCCTGGCAGAGTGTTTAATTCCAGCAGACCAGCTCTTGGCGACGACCACAGCCCTCTCAGGGTCAATTGCCATCATCTCGCGCATGATCTGAGCAGCGATGATACGCTTGCTAGAGGCAACTCGCTCGTCGATGCCGACGATCTTGGCTCCCTGCTCCAAGCTCTCCTCCATGTCGCTCAAGTTGGCATCCTCGATCTCCTCGTCTATGACATCGTTGTGGATGAAGCCAAACTCGAGAGCATAACTGGTAATCTCCATTCGCTCGGGAATGCAGTTGGGCATAGCAACAGTGATGAAGCTGAACTGCGGGCCAAGGCCACCTCTGAATGGCCTCTCGAGAGGTCCAACTAAGCGGCGCCAGTCTTCTTGACACCTGAATGCACCAACATCCTCAAGGTCGGCAGCATGGTGGCGCCTGAGATCGATTCCTTCGCAGAGGTTTTCCGGGTCGTAGATGTTTCTGTCGAGGAGGACGGAGTAGGTTTGGTCGTATGAAGGGGCCATTTTGTCTTTTAAACTCGAACGACTGTTGTGTTACCAGCTAACAGTTGAGGCCTGTAGGTGTAGATGGGAGAGGTCGAGGAGAGGCTGTAGTAGACCAAAGGATACACGCTCAACAAGATAAGGTTCACGACAATAATGAACGTGAGATCGCTTGTAAACTTTGATTCCGCTTGAAGAATGTTAGTGAACATAGGCATTGTTATTGATGAGCCACGATGATGGCTCATGAATGATGGTTCGATGGTAATGCGATATAAAATTTGGATGCCAACTAGTTCTATTAAATAGATATCCTTGTAAATGCTACACATAGTTATACAGCGCTTAGTGTGCAAGCATAGGCAGGTACTTGGTGGCGTGGGAGTGTGTTTCACAGCGATCAGCTACCGAAAGCGTAAATTCCGACCAGCGATAGCCCCAACAAGCCGTCGCACAGAGATCCACGCCAGACAGCAGGAGAGAATCGAAATTGGAAGCCGGTGAAATTCCGCTTCGCGTTGTGTGGGCCTAGACTGAGGCGGTCCTGAATGGGAAGTGGCCTAATTGGGCGAAAATCCCGATTTTGGTCAGCTTTGGGTACTTAACTACTGTATCCCAGAACAGTAGCTCGCCATTGAGACGGTGAAGTGTCAATCAGACTAGGGCTATTAGCATTAATGGCATTTTTTCTGCCTCGTATACTACATCGCTGCGACTCACTTATAGATTACCAAGCCCTCAGCTAACAGAATTTGTGAAACCATCCACACAAGAGCATCCCCGTCGGCATGTCCGCCTACTTTCAGCACACTGACCATAAGATCTTTCCCAACCCCCACGAGTTCAACCCTGACAGGTGGCTCAGCAACATTGCTCCCGCTATGAAGAAGAACTACATTATCGCTACTATGGTCTGTCCTGGTGCTATTGACTTCGAGATCTTTGAGACTACTGAGTTGGATCTCAAGCCTACCTAAAATATGGTTGTGCCTCTGCCTAGCTTTACGTTCCAGGGTTTCAAGGTCAAGTTTAACTAGGTTCGCAAGGGCGGTGGGGGTCTAGAATTGTGTTAGGAAATTACAAGGATGTGGGTCGTTTAGAATGGTAGAAGAAAACAATAACAAGCATTAGAGAGATAGCTTTGGTCTTCTAACATGTATTAGTTTGAGAAACAAGATTCTGAATTTTATTAAAACTAGTTAGTAAAGCAGATGCTCCGCCTCCACAACATATAGAATATCTTATATGCTACTACTATTTTTATACTAAGTAAACTTAATATCATTTTAATATAAAGCAAAATACCTAGATTTCTTAGAGTAAGTAAACCTATAGGTGTAGTAATCTTACTAAATTATTCTAATATAAAGAGTAAGATTACTTTATATCTAATAAAGTCTACTATAAGAGTAGACAAATATATTGATATAGTTTTTAGAGGATATAATCTTGATTTATATTAAATAGTGATAAGTAGAATAGATATAGAGCTAGTATATCATCTATACTCTACTCCTAAGATAAAGGATGGAGAGATTGTTAACAGCATACATTTAGGGAGGTAAGAATGAGACAAGAGTTCACGTGATGTGGCGCATACTTGAGTTCCTATCTGATATTAACACGGTCTATTTCTAAAGCTGATAAACACGAAAGAACTCTACCGTGACAGTGTGTCTTGGGTTTCCCTATAGCCGCTCTATCTCTAATTAGATTAAAACTCTTTCAAAACGGCCACCCCTAGTTTCCTTTACATTAGTGTGCTGAAATCTTTTTTTATCTACGTTAATCAGCTATTTAAGATAGTTAGAAACCGTCTCTCCTCTAGGAATATATGTAGTACATCGCTCTGATAGTGTTGTATACATGATAGTCTTTAGATATAAACTAAGATGTAATGCAGAGATATGTATTCTGATAAGATGGATGATGAGTCGATCGTCTTCTATGCTGAGGTTTGCGGGTTAGTTTTGCCCACATTGTTGCACCAGCGCTTGCTTATTGTAACAAGCGTATCGACTACCCCGTTACGAATGCTCTTTCATTCTATATTCCACTAGGTGACCTTTCATCTGAAACCTGGCAATGTGACAGATAGCTCGACAAAAAGAGGTCTCACGTGAGAAGACGGTTCGACGAAGGTGCTGTATTTTAAGACAATTCTAAGCTAAGGAAAATAAGAGAGTGAAGTACATGAACAGAACGCCAACAAAATTCAAGGAATCTTAAGAGTGGCAGTGGGCAGTGTGTGAGTAGACGAGGGCACCAAGTACGAATCTTATTCTCCTCAACTGAGTTGCAACCAGAGGCGACCTCATTTACTAGCCACACGGGCCTTGACGTTCAGGAGTGGCCTGACCCACAGACCATACTGCAGCAGGTTGTTGAAATCGTTGCCGGTCCACTCCAAGTCAGGGTTCTCCAGTTCCATGTCGAACGTGTAGAGCATCTTGGCGATTGTAACACGGACTTCCATCAACGCGATGCTAAAATAAGACCAGGTCGTTAGTCGGACTTTCTTTGTATATGTGATCAAGGGGGTATAAGGGGATGGAACTTACGCTTTTCCTGCACATGCGCGGGTACCGTACGAAAAGGGCTGGCTCGCTTCCAAAATGTCACCGCTCTTGCCCAACCACCGCTCCGGCTTGAACTCCAGAGGATCCTTGAAATTAAGCGGGTCGAGTGCTGCAACCATAGGGGCGATGGTAACTGGAGTGCCTCCCGGAATGAAATGACCATCGACGGTGTCACCGCCCTTGGGAACTAGACGCGGTAGGATGGGTGGTGCTCCCGTCGGAAGACGCAAGCCCTCAAGGCACACGCGATGGAGAAGTTCTAGCTTTTCGGTGGACGCATTCGTAATCGCATCAGCGTTAGGGAAAGCCGCGCGAATCTCGGCCGTGAGTTCGGCAAGAAGCTTCTTGTCTCGGAGTAGGTAGTACGTCGTGGATGTCATAACCGAAGCTGTCGTCTCTGTGCCTGCGCCGATAAAGTCCCATGATTGCGCAGCGAGCTGGATCTCCGAGATCTGTACCTTGGAACTGGCGCGCTGCTCTAATACCTTAGTCAAGAAGTCTTTGCGCGACGTTGTGTCATGCTCCGCGACGCGCTTCTTCATAACCTGGAGAGCGAATTCGCCTCCCTTCCGCGCGGTCTCTTCGAGCTTGTTAACCTTTTCCCGGAAGAAGAAGCGAGCGATGGGGCCCAAAGCCGGGAATTGCTGAATCGCCTCGTGGAAGCTGGTGAATGTCAAGGATTCGTTGAGTTCGAGGATGAATGGGTGGATGGTTTCCCTCCCGATGGCGCCAAAGTCTTGTCCAAAAGCCAGGTCGCCGATGATGTCGAATGTCATGGAGCTGTAGCCGAAAGTTAGGTCCACGACGCCGCCGTTGGCCGTCTTGGACTTGACGTGCTGGATGAAGCGGTCGATGTAGTCATTGATCATAGGCTCCATCTCGTTCAAAAAGGAACGTGAGAAGGCACCCCCGAATGTCCGAGCAATCGCGGCGTGTTTCGCGGGGTCACGCTCCGTGATGATGGAGCGTACGTCTTGGGCTGCAAAGATGCTTAGACCATCGTACCAGGTGCCTTTGGTAAAGGTTTGGTGGCCTGGGCGGGAGCCGTAGATGTCTTTCCAAGCACGGGCTGAGCTGAAGCTGAGTTCATTTGGTCCGTAGCGAACAACATGGCCTGAGGATCACAGACGAGTTAGTAGTGTTGGCTGTGGTCGTGCTATTGTGGGGACCATAAGGCACTTACCGTATTTGCGGTGGAGCTTGAGGAGTTCGAAGGATTGTTTACCCTGGAAAACCGTGTATAGATGGGGGATCTACAGGCGTCAGTGTTGGGGCCAAGCAGAGCTCTGAAATATGGTGCATACAATGCTAATTTTGTTTATCCAAGGGCCAGGGAACTTGCGCAGGGGATGGAAGTATACGTTGTAGATGAACACCTTGAATATATAAAAGAGTACTAGAGGCCCAACAAGAAGCCAGGCCAACTCCGGCAGGGTTTTATTGTTGACGATCTCCATCTCGATGCAGTCTTGTATGTGAGTATTCGCTTTGTGTGTCAACCATGGGGGATGAAGGTCACCTTATAACCACGGTTGTTGTTACTGTATTCCGCAGCCAGAAGTCCTTCGCCGCCGGCCTAGTCCATTTGAGGCTGTATCGTGTGTTAATTGGCAGCATGTGTTAAAGAATTCACCACGCAACCAAGAAGGAACGCGGTTAACCACTAAATTGAGGCAGATTACCGCCCTCGGAATCTTCCAAAAAATAATCACGCCATTGCCGGCTCTATGTGCTTAACTCCTTGCGCATTATGGCCTTGCCGGTATCTGCAGCTCTGATAGAGTCTTTAGCGAAGCTAGCTCCGCAGCGGAATTTTTCCAAAACGGGTAGTTACCGTATCCCATATCAAGTAGGTCTGTGCATATGGGACAGTACTACAGTGTACCTCCAAACTTCTGCCTATTTTGGCATTGAGCTTACAGGTCCTTTAGAAAGAAGCGAAAACGCGAGAACAGTGGCGTTGCCGCCGGCGGTCCAAGCAACTTGGGGAATGGGATCTGGGCGTTATCAAGTCGTGTGTAAATGTTTAGTTATAAACAACACGCGCTTCTTCATATAGCCTTATGAAGACAGACTTCCGAAGATTGTTCTTTTGAAGCTACAGGACCGTGTTTCTTTAAGTCGATATTCCAAGTTCAACACCAAAAATGGGACATTCTGCTAAAGACGAGGCCCCCGTCGTGGCCATCCCCAAGCTGGGCCCCATTTTCACCAAACTCCTCCGCGATCTCAAATATCGAACGCCTCAGCATGAAAATACACGCCCTGCCCTTGAAGCTGCTATGCTCGAGTACGCCATCCGCTCGGGGGCTCCATACAAGTCTGAGTATGCCCAGCGGTACTTCGATGTTGGACTTACCCTCGCTTGTGTATGTGTTCTTCTTCTATGACTCCAGTACTATCTGCCTCGAGTTTAGCGTATACTTAGACTTCTACTAACTACGCGAATTAAGGCCTATTACCCTACTCATTCTTTTGCTGTGAAATTACACATAGCTATCTACTCCTGGCTAGCCATCTACATCGATGACGACGACGAAGGTAACGATGACCTTATCGGTTTCCAGGAGCGCTTCCAGAAGGGGGAGCCTCAGCCATCTGCTCTCCTGCAGCGCTTCGCAGAGAACCTCCAAGAAATGTCAATCCATTTCGAACCCCTCGTGGCCAACTTCATCGTGCTTTCGTCGCTGCAATTCGTCGCCGCTACCCTACTAGAGAGACGCAGCGAGCTCCACAGCCTGCAGCACTGCGAGGAAGCAAAAAGGTGGCCCGACTATGTCCGCGACAGGAGCGGAGTCCCTGAGGCGTTCGCGTATTTCATCTTCCCAAGAGACGAGTGCCCGGATATAGGAGCGTATATGCAAGGCATACCGGATATGATGACTTACATTAACTACGCGAATGATATTCTATCGTACGTATGGACCTGTTCCTGGCAGCCTATGATTTTCTCCTTGTATCTGCAGCACTTGCTAACCAATCACTGTTGTCACAGGTTCCATAAGGAGACCCTCGCTGGCGAGACGGACAACTACATCAACACCCGAGCCGTCTGTGAGCAACGCGAGCCTTTTGACATGCTCGAAACTGTCATTGCCGAGACAATCGCGGCAAATTCGCGCGTGGTTGGGCTTCTGGACACCAGATCTGACCTCGTGTATGCTCGCAAGTGGAACGAATTCTTCAACGGCTACATCTTCTTCCACGTCACAGCTCGGCGGTACAAGCTGCACGTGTATACTGGGCTCGCAGATGTGGGAGCCAAACGGCAGGAGGTGCTTGCATGCTAGCTCAATTTGCTGCAGTCATTTCTGCGGGCTGCGATAGAATGATTCGTTTGGTAGAGAACATAGTCATTTGCTATCATTTTGATTTTTATATTCATTTAGCGAATAGTATATTTGTTATTTTTTCTAAACATAAGACAAGTCGTTACCTTAGCCTTCTAGTAAAGAAATTATAAAGATTTAAATAATAAGCTCAAAACCTAATATAAGGCTTTTAGCTCTGAGTTTATTATATATAAAAGGATTTGCTTTGAAATTAAGAATATATAAATGATATCTATAAATTACTAGTTATAATTTATCTTTTCCATATATATCTAGCTGAATAACTAGCTATCAATATCTGGATAAGCCTAGCTGCAGCAAAAACGCAACGCTAGCCCGCCCCCCACCCCACTCCCCCACCCCATACAAAAGCTCTATGTCCGAATAGGTATCGAGAACGCAACTATAAAACGCACAACCAAACAGGCCCTTATGCTAGCCTTTTCGGCACGGTGGGCACATTGTAGTTGCCGGCGCGGCCCGATCGGATCTAGCCATTTTAGCAGGTATGCTCTTGGATTTGGTTGAATCATCGAAATCTTGTTTTGAAGCACTTCGCATGGGGATTGCTTAAAGCGGATGTTTTCCGGCGTCTATATGCGTGAACCTATAAAGCCACGCCGATACCCCTCCTCTCGCTCAATTTTCAACTTACCGCCGTCTCTTTCTCGAGCTCATTGACTAGCGTAGTATCTGCTCTCCCATCTTTGTCGCCTAGTTCCTCCCTTAGTCCACCATGGCACCTCCAGCATCTCTGCCCACCAAGCCTCTCGGCAAGACAGGACGACAGGTGCCCGCCCTCGGTTTCGGAATGATGGGACTGAGTATGGCGTACGGACCTACTGGGTAAGCTGCTTCATGTGTGCCCTGACCTAGGACGCAGTTCTGAGACTCTCCCAGTAATGACGAAGAGCGTCTGGCGCTTCTAGACCGTGCCTGGGAGCTCGGCTACACGAATTGGGACACAGCAAACAGCTATGCCGACAGCGAGGTCCTGATCGGAAAGTGGTTCAAGCTGCATCCTGAGCGTCGCGCCGACATCTTCCTGGCCACCAAGTTCGGCGTCAAAGTTGCACTCGACGACAAGGGCGAGTGGAACATCTCGGCTGACAACAGCCTCGAGTTCCTCACCGAATGTCTCGAGGGCAGTCTGCAGAAGATGGGTGTTGATTACATTGATCTCTTCTACGTCCACCGTCTTGACCCCAAGACGCCTGTCGAGAAGACGATGGAGCTATTGGCCAAGGCAAAGAAGTAAGCTAGAGTTCTAATGTCCTATCCAGGACAGGCATTTGCTGCGCCCATACTGATACTTCTAAATCAGAGATGGTAAAATCAAAGCCATCGGCATCTCTGAATGCGCCTCCAGCACCATACGACGAGCCTACGCAGTCGCACCCGTCGATGCCGTCCAGGTCGAGTACAACCCGTTCCAACTGGACATCGAGAATGAGACAGGAACAAACCTGCTCTCCACCTGCCGCGAGCTTGGCATCACCGTCTTCGCATACGCTCCGCTAGGTCGCGGCTTTCTAACGGGTCAGATCAAGAGTACCGACGACTTTGCGCCTGACGACTTCCGCCGCGTCGTGCCGCGCTTTAGTCCCGAAAACTTTGCTAAGAATCTCGTGCTAGTTGACCGCTTTAAGGCCCTCGCAGATAAGAAGGGCTGCACGCCGGGCCAACTGGCGCTCGCGTGGTTGTCGGCACAGGGTGAGGACATCATACCAATCCCCGGCACGAAGAAGATTCAGTATATGGAGGAGAATGTCGGTGCGCTCAAGGTGCATCTCTCGAAGGAGGAGGTCCAGGAGATCAGGGACGAAGTCGAGAAGGCTGAGGTCGCGGGTCACCGCAACCCTCCCGGTGCATTCACAGAGTATTCTGTGACTGTCGAGCTTTGAGGTGTCCTTGCGAGCGATATCCATCGAAGCTGGTCTGGTGGATAGAGTAGCTTAATGCTTAAGAAGTTTTACACCTTAAGCTTCCTATATATATTACTTATCTAGGGCTAGAATATACTCTTTTACTAAGCTATTACTATACTAGTGCGCAGGGTCACATATGACCCTTATACTAATACATAGTATAAACTATCCTAAGAACTATAAGATAGAAGTTCCAGTATAAGATAGAGTAATATATAATCTTTCAAGTTTTAATTCTATACTATACTCTCTTTCTACTATAAAGTTATGCTACTTATGTGTAAATATTATAGAAGAAGATTTACTTATTTATCTATCTTCGCTAGTAGAACTTATACTTACTATAACTATACTTTATATCTATTTATTATTATTATTATTATTATATAGGAACTTTTTAAAGTCTATATATATATATGATAAGTATAAGAAAAGCTCTTCACTTAACAAATAGTCTTTATTTAGAGATTAGTATACTAATAAATAGATAGTCTCTGTCTAGAGACAAAGTCTAGATTGAATTAGATTATATAGATATAGATAGATATTAGAATCTAGTTTTACTTAATATCTTATATTCCACTTTAGACTATTATTATTTAATATTTATTAGCTTACTTATATCTAACTTGTTATATAATATATAAATACTATAGATAACTATTATAATAGCTTAGTAACTATATATCTATATAGAATATAGACTATTTGACTAATTTTATAATTCTTATACTCTATATATACTTATATATCTTAAAGTATCACTAAGGTATTATTATATTTAAATAATATTTTATTATAACGCACTCTAAATAGTTATTAAGATATAAGAAATGTACTAAGATAATCCTTATAAATTAGAAAGTCTTTAACATCTACTCTATTAATAGAGCTAAAAGTTTAGAAATTCCTAGAAGTATTATTTATATAGATATAGCTATTATATTAAATTTTTAGAAGATTTAAATAGGCTAGTCATTGGGTCTCTACATCGGGATCTTAAAAACGCTATTATCTCCACCAATACTTACCCGATTAAGAAGTCTAGTAGCTTATTTTAAAGCTCTCTATTAGAGCTTTATTTTACTATGCTATAGTAATACGCTAGCTATACTATATAAGGAGATATTTAAGATCAGAGTAAAATGTGGAGACCTAACTCTTAGCAAGGTAGGTAGGCTAATAACTTCTTACCTATCAGAGTTATTCTATTACTTAATTAGATAGAAATGAAGCTTAGATTAAGGGCTACAAAATGAGCTACTAAACTTCCCAATTGGGTAAGTATTGGTGGAGTGAAGTAAGAAAAACGATCCTGAGGTGGAGACCCAACTTACCACGCTATATATACTCTTATTAATCGCGATTTTTAGTAAGATTTTAGATAATTAATAAATCTATATATTTAATAAACTTATGAGGTACATTATAATAAAATATTATATAAATATAATAATACCGTAGTGATACTTTAAGATATATAAGTATATATATTAGTAAGAAGATAAGGATAATGCTTAGCTCTTATACTCTAATATACTAACTTAAGCTATTTTTAGACTATCTAGCGCCGCTTATAGCGATAAGAAGCTAGTAGGAATGTAGTAAAAATAGCGACAATAAGAGGTTATGTAACAGCATACTAAAGTGCTGCTAAAGCAGGCGTTAACGTATCGCATTTGTCACAAGCGCATCCGGCCGATAAGGCATTTAACGCATACAAGGCAGCCAAAATGTCCGCTTACGTGCTCAGCGGCAGTCTGGTAGAAAATTGCACTTTCGGTGACCGAATGACCTGTTCCTGCTTACATCATACTAGCGTAACAAATTCTCTCACCCCTCAATGGCGTTTTCCGATTGGCCTCCCGCTTCCCCCGAAGACCCTGACATGCGCCTCTGCTACTAGCCTGCACCAGCCTGCATCTATATCTGCACCTACCTGGACCCACTCCCCCCCCCCCACGTCGCCTACATGCACCCAAGACCTCCTGAACATTTCTTCCTTCACCCTTGATCGCCGAACAGCATCCATGCTGACGACTCGGAACCATCTCAAGTGCCGGGTTGCTCCTATCTTGCATGTTCCAGGCTAGTTGTATAAGTACATAGTACTTACATACTTAATCACATCAGTCTAACACCACGTACACGCCCCATAAAAGCTCCACTCGCCAGCCCTGCTTGCAGTCTGAAAATCCCCGCGTTGGCTTGGCTTAGCACCCAGCGTGTCCACTGAGTAGTAGACTCTAGCTGCGCCCATGGACCCTGTCAGCGTACGGGTAAAGTGTGCGTAAGGACTGTACGTACGTAGCTGGAAGCAAATGACCACCAGCCTGCAACCACAGACAACCTTGGCTAGCCCACTCGCAACATGCGAAAGACACTGTGCATGCGGCTCTAATGCATTACAAACCCTCCGACCAACGTAGCGAACCGGCCAAGAGGTGAAGCCCTGAGCGCCACAGCCTGTGATACGAAAAGTCATGGCGTTATGTTGTGACCAGGAAGAAAAACGGGCCGCGGTAGCACGTCAAACTAAGGCCTCAGAGCTCCTAGCGAGGCCTAGGGAGGCCTACCGACATGTGGCCCTAGAGTCACCTTGGGATCTCAAGCGCGGGGGATCCACCTTGTACTCGGTCTCCCCTTCTGTCAGCAGCCACCAACAATAAGCACCTAGATCGTCAATTCCCAGGGAATGGCTAAAACGGCAGCCGCTAGCGTCCGAACCGCCTACCCTTGATCAAGCGGCTCGCGGGCTTGCCTATCAAGTCTGAATGTCCGACATTTTTATGAATGTTTCATTCAGCGATTAGTGCTACTACTAGTACCATATCGGTATTGGTCGTAGTACCATCGTTCGCACCCATTTATTCACCGACGCCCCAAATTTCAAGTTGTAAAGATTTTACGAAGGAAACAAATCCGAGCTGGCAACTTCCTTCAGCGCTATTTGTATTTGGAAATGATAGACTGGATAGACGAGATCAGCTGCCCATCATGTTCGGAACTTTACACTGCAACTCGCCTACTAAGGAGGCAGAGTTTGTCGAAAGGCCATATGGGTCCCTTAACCCAGGAATGAACTCGGCCTGTGACCGATGCAGAGCATACAAGGTAAGACTACCATGGCTTGGAACATACCATTCAAGCAACATACCCTTTCAGTATCTGGTTTACTGACGCGTCGAGCAATTCGTATAGGTCAAATGCACTGTCAGTGGAAAAAGTTGTAGTCGATGCCGGCGTTTAAAGAAGACATGCAGTTTCACATCAGTGAGGCAAAGAAGTAGCCAGCGAGTATGCAAGACAGACGTCAACCCCAAACGCCAGGAATCACAATCATCGGACAGGCCTGCCCAACCGCAGACATCACCGAGCCCCAAAGACAGCGGAAACGAGGGAGAATATTATATAAAGCAACGAGGTTCTATATCATCAGGCCTCACAGACGGAAATGACGGCAGCGAGAAGGGGGATACACAAATTGGAGACTACACATCACACCAGCTCTCTGAAGCATCATCATCAACATCAACATCAACATCCAGCCTACCATTCCTCGCCGATTACGACCAACAAGACGATCTCTGCACGTGTAGTATCCTGCCCTTCCCATTCTGTTCGTCAAGCGTACACTACAACAGTCCAGGCGCTATGGCACGGTCCAACATCGGAACTCCCCAGGCCCTTCCCACACCCCCGGCCTCGAGAGACGAAACCCCACAACAACAGCTACCCAACAGCCAGTCACATGACCCACAATTCGATATGGGCCCCATCGACACAGAATCGCTCGACATCTCCGCCCTCGCAGCCTCAATGTGCTGGTCGCAAGGCTCATTTGAAAAACCCTGCCAATGCCTCGCCGACGTCATCTTCGCCCTCGAAAAATTAGAAGCAAGCTGCAGTTCAGGAAGCAGGGCAGGACTCGACTCTATTGTTGCCAACCAGAAAGAAGTCATTGAGCTCTGCCGCTGCATGCTCAAGTGCAGCAATTGCATGGCCAAGCGCGAAAACTTCGTACTCCTCGTATTCATGAGTGAGCGTATAGTCGTAGCATGCAGTCGCATCGTGACAATGTACTGCATGGAAGACGGGGGTCTGCGAAACAACACGCACAACCGTGCCGACACTACTACGGTCGTACCCTCGCAGCTCGCCTGTCTACCCGGCTTACATCTCTCCGGTACAACGACGGACATGAACATGGATAGCCAGTGCCTCACAGCAGCTGCCGCATCAGCGGCGTCGTCCTCGCCGTCGCGGCCGACGACACCAGGCTGGCAGCAACTGCTCCTCGGAGACTACAAGATCAACTCAGCACTCGAGTGGGACCATCTGGTCCGCGCGCTCATAAACTTCCAGCTCAGGGCCATCAAAGCCCTATTGGGCGATGTCAAAAGCATAGGCACCATGATCCTAGGGGATGCGCAGAAGGAGTCTCTAGCCCACGCTGAAGCAATCATCCACAAGTTAGAACAAGACATATACATAATCTAGCGCTCTTTTTAGATTTACGAATCGCAGATTGTTTATTCAATATTCGATTGATTATGATATATTATCGCCACTATATGTTTTATTCTTTTGGGTAAAAGCTGGTATAGATTACAAGCATGATTTTAGCCTTCTCTTAGGGCGTTTTTTTTTGGATTATTCGTTATGGTTTATCGACCAGTTGCTTTACACGTGGGGTGGTTCGTCGGGACCACAGAAAATGTAGGAATATGAGCCAAATCTTGGCCATGCGCGCTCCGACTCCGGACCCTCCCGCACCTTTCTCGCATAATAGGTCCTTTTCCATCCACTTGGATAAAAGCAGTATTTTTTCTTGCCCATCTCGCTTCACCCGATATATCGCCGGGAGGGGGAGGGGGATCACGATCGGTACATATAGACTATAGTGACACAGACGCTAGTCTTGCCAACGCGCGGCCAAGCAAGGATAATCATATCACCAACCAGGCTGAATCTGCAGTTGGCAAAATAGCCGCAAGTTATAATCGCCGAAACGTGGCACGGCTCAGTCACCGTTGTTGCTCCTTGACCGCCATGCTCAACGCAAGTTGTGCAAGGTAGAACCCTCAAGAGCCAGCCAGCACGCGGAGAGATTGCAACTCGGAAAGATTTCAGCGTGGCTGTCAATATATTCACATCGAGTTATTCAAGTACGCACGCACTTGGCCTTGCTCCGCGGAATGGGCCCTTACTCCGCGGAGGAAGGGAGGGCCAATAGAAAGGATTGCATGATAACAGAATCTGGTTCACGTATTGTGTCATCGGTTATCAATGCTGGGGGAGGGGGAGGGCAGACAAGGGTGCCCGCTGAAGTGTTATCGCTGTGTACTACCCCACGACATGTTCTTGTTTATTTTCGCCAAAGATTAACTTGGTGAATGCGATGATGGGCACGGTCAGACCGGGCTGATGGGAAGGCAGAGCCTCATCCAATGATTAGCAGATCATTGTTCCCAGCTGCTAGTATAGATCTACTACTCGTCACCGGTTGGCGGAGCCCTACCGGGCCTCTGAGTATTGCCCGTACTTCCATCTCTTATTTTGCAAGGCGCCCTACTGAGCTTTTACTACTCTGCGGACGCTACTTGCGGCCCGGGGTGTAGTTTTGGATTGTAACTACTATGCAGTACGTAGGTATTAGACGTTGGTCTAGATTCAGGGTCTCGAGAAGACGCGACCACGGTCGACGCATGCTGTAAATGGTTTCAAACAGCATGCAGGTGCTGTGGCTGCCTCGCCCGACATGCCCTTTTGCTAAAAACACGTGATCAAGCATACATGTAGTGTATAACTAGGGGTGGCGTGATCAGAGTTGCAGGCTGATGGATGTAACCAGCGTCGGAGACTGCATACTGCACACTGCAGGCAGGACAGTGTTGACCGAGATAAAGCCACATGTGAAGGCAAAGGGGGACTGGGGTACAGGTATCGATCGATGATATTGTGTATCGGCGACGGGGCGAAGACATTGGTGGTGTTGCGTAGCAGTGCATTCGGGGCGAAGACATTGGCAACAGAAGGTCCGTGGTTGTGTTACTAAGGCGGCGCTAGTGGGAATGGCGCTCTGGTTTAGCGCGATAGCCCTCGGCGCGCGCCTTCCCGCATCATTGACCGAGACGGGGCCTAATGCGGCTTAGTCAACCGCCTCTACTACAAGGGACCACGCTGTTCTGTTTTCAAACCCTCCAGAGGAATCCTCGGCCGAACCCGCCATGCGGTTAGCGCGTCTTCACTAGAGAGAAACGTTAATTACCTCAGCAGCTCGCCCGGCTTCCATCGTATGTCGGCTGGGATAATTGGCGTAATTAACCGGGCTTCAATACTTGGGTTTTGGTCCCTGTTGTAGCTGCAGCCCAAATAGGCAACTGAGGCAACGTCTCGGAGGCAACCGAAGCCCCCAACCAAGGGAATCCAAGTAAATAGGTCGTTGACATGTGTACCCACTAGCACTTCGAGTCGGAGTCACGTCGGATGAACATCACGTTGAATCCACACTGTGTACGTACCATGTACACGACGACACTGGCGTAGCAAGATCCAACTTCAACGGCCCTCTTCGATTGGCTGCCTTGCCTTAAATCATGCCATGATACATATCAGGATACGAGCGAGTTTGGAGCTGAAGTTCAAGACTTGACTGCTGCGACTGTGAATGAGTTAGAACCTCTTTTCATTGCTTGCATTGCATTACCGTCTCATTGCATGCGCCTTGCCGGCGTGTCATCATCGCATCTATGTATGTAACCAGTTAGTCCTGTGACGTGCGCAGGGATGTACATTAAAAACACAGTTCCAGTCGGCCCTTAAAGTAAATACCCTCTAGCATCATGTTAGGATTAGTCTAACGCCATGCCGCAATTTGGCAAATGCTCATTTCAAACTGCTGCTGGATTACGTGAGCAAAGGGCGTTGCGGAACAGTGAGTAGCATCCGTAAGCCCCCAGTCACAGCGGCTAGATCCGCCACAGTGACGGCCGACAGGGAGCCATGAACATAAGCACACAGCCAAAAGTCACACTCGCTTTGCACAAGCTGCAAAGAAGACATCAGCCCTTATCATTCTCTGATACCGGTACCCACACCAAGTAAAGTACAGTACATACATTACGACCGCATTGCGCGGCTTGCGGAGGGTTCCCCGTCTTCGATACGGGAACCGATGAGATACTCGGCACGAGCAGCCACTGAAGGCTTGCAAAAAAAAACTTACTAACTCCTTGCGAGTTAGCAGAAAACTCCCTGGAAATGTGTCACTTTTCGGACCGTTATCTTACAGCTTTGCTAAAAATCATGCGTCCAAGGGGTGGCATGGTGGAGCACCGGGACAGCGACTGCCCCCCCCCCCCCTTCTAGTACGTACCTTACACTTTTGGGCTGATACGCGAGGATTTGCCGTGCCGAGGGGAAGCGTCGCATGGCGAAGACAGGCATCTCGATCGTGTTCACGAATCAATGCATGTCACGGCAAGGGTACCCGGTGGATATGAATTACGCGACTCCAAGATAGGATACACTCGATTTAGGTGGCAACAATTCAATACGTATGCCCTATTTTAGCTTCTTTTTTCTTTTTGACTTGCAAATATTGCTTTTGTAGATCACTGAGATACGAAAGCAGTGCGCGAAAAATGTGGAAACAACTATCATGTCGTGACTTTATTGTAGAGCTGTAAAGTTGATACTGTTCAGGCGTGCTGTTAATTCTATTCTTGGTTTTGGCTGGTAGGGGCTCATGTACAGTATTGTATTTCTCGTTCACAGGGTGAAGGCTATCATCACATTAGTTAGGTGACATCTCAGTAGTGTTATTGGTATACAAATGGTTCGCATGTGCTGTGCCCCCCCACGGCGAAGATAGGTATCTCGGTCAAGTTCACGAGCCGATGCATGTCATGACAAGGGCTAATAAAACGTTGGTTAGTTAGGTTGCATCCGAGTAGCTTTCTTGGTACACAGAAGGTATGCACATGGGCTGAGGAACCCAGCGCCAAGGACAGGCATGCCTGTTGATCCCACAAACCATGTTCACGGCAGCGGCTATTTCCATGTTAATTAAGGCTGCATCCGAGTGGTTTTACCGATATGCCGCCGATTTGCACGTGGCGTGGGTGATGCAGGGCAAGGACGAGCATTTGAGTAAAATATCCACCAACACGGTGACAACGGCTGTCAACTGTGTTTAGATTAGATTGCAGTGGAGTGGAGTGGAGGCGTGGTTGATAATCTCGCTTCTACTTTCGTCCTATCTATGCTATCTATATGGTTTGAGGTATCAAAATTTTACAACCCCGCGAGGAGAGAAGCCAGAAAGCTGACAAGGGAAGTTACGGAACGCATGGTAACAATTAAGTCAGTGTAAGCTAAGAGACTGTGAACCGAAGGGTAGAGATAACCCCCATGATGGAGCTATGCTCTACTTTCAAAACTTCTCCCAACTCTACCAGAATAGGCAAAAGGAGAAGATGCACTCAGCACTGCATGTCAGCCATGGGCACGTGATGTATGGATAGTCCTGCTTTTCTTACTTAGAAAAATTAGCCAAGTCAGCACAACATGCCGCTAGTATTAGGAATGGCTCCCTTCCTCTCGTTCCCCATTCGGGCAGGTTGGAGCCTGACCTGCAATTCTTTTCTAAGAACAACTAATCTGATACGGTATACGACAAGCAATTGGAAACAATCAAATTCAGCCCTCAGACAATACTGACATCATCAATGAGTTATAATACACAGAAGATTAGGATCAGACGGGAATTTTCTCAATCACGTAAAACACCTGGGGAATAAAGTGACAGTTGAGATGGTGCAACCATGGCGGGGCCGTCTCTCATACACCTAGCAAAACCAGAAAATAGCGGCATCTCTCAGTAATGCAAAACCACTAAAAAAAACATAGCTAAATTAGCACCCGCTTACTTCCCACACTACTATAGCTTCCGTAGATATCATCTAATATTTAAACATTTGATGACCGTAACATCAAGACGTGCGCACTTAATAGTAGATATGCATTCAAAACTAAACACGTTATAAGAGGAATGTTTGATATTCTCAAGAAGTAGTTTCGGTGGGCGATTGCCTAGTTGTCTTGATTTTCCGGTTTTGCCGAGCGCATGGGAGGCCGTACTGAACAGACAGAACTGCACGGAACAGGCGGAGCGCTACGCCACGGCCCAGCCCGAGGCGAGGAGAACATGTTGAGGGTTTGCCAAGGGAGGCCTTAAGAGATTAGTACACACCAGGGTGCAATCCCGTGTTCTCTCTAACTCTTTTTGGCCCGCTGAGGATAAGACGCCGAGAGGCAGGGGATTACGGCGCCCTGGCCGGCAAAGCTTGATTACCCCGGCCCCTTCTGACCCACCCCCAGCCCTTTTGGCTTCCTGATCAGAGCTAAAGCTCCCCCTATAAACAGATTCTCTCTACTAGGCGTTATATACTATACTTCCTACCTAAAATAAAATAGAAGATAACTAAATGTAAATTAAATGTTTTTTTCTAATTTAATTTCTTTATATAAATATTTTTATTTCTTTTTAAATTTTTATATTTTATTTTTAGATATAGGGAAAGGAAAAGGAAGAAAAGTTAATTATACCCCTATATAGAGTAAGGCGTAAATGCTTGTATTTTCCCTAGTGACATAGAGATTATGCTACGCTAATATTAACCCTGTTTTTACTAGGAGGCCGTGTAACTCTGATCAAGGGGGGGGGGGTGGTAAACAAGCTTTGCCGTTCAGGGCGGGCCGCGACGCCTCTGCCAGGGCTTATGCCGCACGACACGTAGTTAGGTGACAGTTGTCTGCATATGCACAAGTAAAAGCCATCATCCAAGAACACCAAGCTCCAAGGGTCAGCCTCCCGTCCCGACATGATATCCTGTAAGCCACACTAGATTAGTCCGCTATAATTACCGAAAGTAGCATTGCGATGCATCTGTGTACATATGCATGACATTGTCAGTTAGCGCATGCGCCTCTTATCAGCCATGTAGTACAGGGGCACTTGGTCCGAGGTCCCCCCCACCCTTGGTGCCTGCAGTCAATGGTGGGTGGCCTTTCCCAGTCCTGATACCAACTGGCGCAATCCTTCGTGATCAAGCAATGCCACTGCTGATGCTCGCCATTGGCCCTCACCGTTCAGCCGCACTGCACAGACCCTGTGCCATTTGAGAATTTTCGTTTCAATATTCTTATTACTATTTTCTTGCACTCTCTACTACCGGTCTACACTGCTGCGACGCCTTTACCACAAAAAAAGCAATGACCACAGTGACATTTTCGGTAGGACCGGTGTTGTTGGTAGCTATGTTCTTAGCGCCCTCATTGCCAACGAGTCTCACGTCTTGACTAAGACCATCACTAGACGCTTACTAGGTGTAAGAGCTGAGCCAACGAAGCTTGAACCCATCCTGGAAGCTGATACATCAAAGTGGGGGAGAGGGGGCGGACACCATTTCCAAATGGGACCCTAAGCCGTACGTCGCTCGCAATGGCATCTGCACCACACGCGCTCTAGCTGGTGGGCTCGAAAACTAACGCAAGATCGATCAAGATCTCTGCATAGAAACGGGTAAGGCATCCAACACTGCTGGCGCTAGCATCTACGTTTTCGCATCTGCCGACCTCACACTGGATTGTGTCGGCCTAGATCTACCCTACAGCGAAATGAAAGATTGACGCTGCAGACGCCATTCTCGTAAGACTAGGCGTGATTGTCGGTGATTGTGAGAGGTACAAGTCCATCTTCCTCCTGAGAATCATTGGAGATACCCCCAAATTTAGTCAGGGCCTTTAGGACTTAATTGGTATGTAATTCCCTCCCTGTCTTTTACTGTACATACGGCAAAACCATGTTTTCTATTTGATTTTGTATTCAACTTTTGTATCGACTTCACACATCAAAGCAGCAAACGTGTAGAAGACAGGCGTCCAAAAAAGATAGCAATCAAAGGACAAAATCTCGAGAGAGAGTTTCTTCAGCAGTGTACATTAAACATATCTACCTCCAGTATAGGAAATCAAAGACATATATCTTTTAAGAAATTATAGACATTCTTGGGGTCTTGAATCTTAATCAAATAGAGAAAGGGTTTCAAACTTCAAGCCTAATGGTTCCTTTAGCTAAGCGGTACAGGAATCATAGGAAAAAACAAACTACTGTGACAGCTCCCGTCAGTTATTAAACATAAAAATTCACTCCAATCTTTCATGCAAAAGCTTTGGTAATGGGTATGTATTCGTTTATTTCCTTCTTCCCACGGCTCCATGTCCGAGCCTTCAACTATGTAGCCTAACTACCACCAACTCCACAAACAAACAATGAAACTCCAAAAGCGGAGTGGCCAATGGTATGATGAATTATAGTAAATTTGTATATATGCTATTAGCGAGCAAAATAGAAACGCCATAAGAGCCCGAAAAAAGACAACAAGAGCTTCCAACTTTGGATCGTGACAGAAAAAAGAGGAAAAAGCAAGAGAAAGAGACTCAAGGCAGGCTTCTAAAACCCATCTCTCTTCTCAGCATCTTGCTGCTCGACAGCAGAACTCTTTCCGATCACAGTTTCGCTATCCAGCAATCCCTCTGCGCGAATCGGCGCTTCCCCCTTCTCAATCGTTGGGCGTTTAGGCACACGCGCCCACCAGTACAAGCCACAGGCGGCCGCCACGTTGAAAATGACAAACACCCACATGATGCCAAAGTTGCGCCATACGCTCGAGTACTCTGCATGCACCGTTTTGAGGAACACATTTGTGTCACCCATGGGGCAGAACGCGCAGTTGGACGTCGCACTGGGGTTCTGCACGTAGCCACCAGCCATAGCCTGGTACTGCGCCATGTACTCGCCGCAGGTGCCGTTGACAGGGTCAAATCGTAGATACTCATTCGCCGCACAGGTAACCGACGAGTCGGCCACACCAACCGCCAGCATACCTCCCACAAGATACGTAAACGGCGAGACGCGGTACATGAAGATCCAGAAGCGCGGCATCTGCTCGGGGGTAGTGAGGATACCGCAGAAAATGACGGAGAGCATGAAGAGCAGATTTCCAGTGTTGCCCGCGCTCTCGGTGGTTTCGAAGGCGGCAATCATCAAGTGGGCAAAGGTGGAGCTGAACATGAGGAAGACCCAGACAAAGAGCCACATTTGGGCGCCGCGCAGTGCCGTCGAGTCGGTTGCCTCGGCGTTGTGCGAAAGCCCGATAGGGTAGTACCAGCAGAAGAATAGCAAGACGGACATGAGCGTGTTCCAGGGAAGCTCTACAATAATGTTAGACATGATAAAAGCTTTCCACGAGTACGTCTTGGACGGGCGTTCGCGCGCCTCATACAGCGCACGCTGGGCCACAAAGTGCGGCATGATTAGCTGGATGAACTGGCCGAAGATGAAGAATAAGGTGAAAATGGAGAACATTTGGTTTTGCAGGCCCTGGAGCGTGTTGGGCGTGTTGTAGAGCGAAAAACCAATGTAGATGGATGTGCTGACGCAAAGGAAGGCTTTGGAGTAAATATACGTGGGTGTGCGCCAGATCTGCTGGAACACGCGCAGTTGGACCTCGTAGAACTGTGTCCTGAGAGGCGCGGCAAACTCTTGGAAGCTGGTGGCGTCGTGCGCCTGGCGGGAGGCAGTGCGGCTTAGGTCCGTCATGCGAGAACGCTCTTCTTTGAGCTCAGCGAGGTGTGCTTGAACGTGTGCGTATTCGGGTGATTTGCGCCAGGTGTCATGCCAGTCGATATCACTGTGTGATCCAGGAGCTGCACCGATAACCTCAAGCATCCATTCCGCGGGGTTGGCGGCAGGCGGGCATGGAGGTCCGCCATTGCGCGTGAAGTAGTCGATGAGAATCTTGGCGTTTTCGCCAACGTCGCCGTAATACACAGTCTGCCCACCGGACTTGAGAAAGAGGAGGCGATCGAATCGTTGAAAGAGCATGGCGGACGGTTGGTGGATAGTACAAAGAATAGCTTGGCCGTTTTTCTTGAGCTTATCCAGGAGGTCGAGAATCGCCCATGATGTCTGAGAATCAAGGCCAGAAGTGGGTTCGTCGAGGAAGAGAAGTAGAGCTGGCCGAGCAGCAAGCTCGACACCAATCGTCAGTCGTTTACGTTGCTCAACATTAAGACCCTCGCCGGGGATACCAACAACGGCGTCGGCGAACTCAGTCATCTCAAGGAGCTTGATGACCTCAGTAACATACGCAATCTTCTCTTCGCGAGGAATGTGAGCGGGCTGGCGGAGAAGAGCGGAAAAGGTAAGAGCCTCGCGAACGGTAGCAGTGCTCAAATGGAGATCCTGTTGTTGGGCATAACCAGTCTTGCGCTGGAACGAGTCATCTCGCTCCTTTCCGTCAACTAGCATTTCTCCAGAGATAACGCCCATGGTGGTACGACTAGCGAGAATATCCAAAAGAGTAGTCTTTCCGGCTCCAGAGACACCCATAAGGGCCGTTAAGTTACCTGGTTTGACCCATCCGTCAACATGATCAAGGATCCTACGGCGTTCCTTTTGGATTTCGATATCGTAGCAAATGTCCTTCCACTGGAAAATGGCAGTTTGTTGCTCAATAATAGCAAGGTCATCTGGCTTGGTGTTTGCCGCAGTAGTGTTGCGCTCACTGCCGCCTTCGATATCGTCCTGGCCATTGCTCCTGTCCAAGTTCTTGTGTCCACGGCGGAAGACAAGGATTTCACCCTTGGACTTCTTCTCAGTGATAAAATCTGAAGCAACCAGGTAGATGGCGCAAAGAATGACCATGAAAGCAAAGATGATGCCGACGTTCCTCCACTTGTGGCTGGCCTCATAACCGTATGTGGACCTGATGTAGTCGTCGCCGAGGACAAAGGGCTGTCCGGGAACGGATCCGACGGTGGAACAAACATGGTTGCTGCCGCTAACATCGTAGCCAGGACCCGCAGGAACATAGTTGACGCAAAGGAATTCGCGGTTGGTGAACTCGTTGATCATGATGGACTCGAATCCGTATGAGATGGGATCGATATATGCCATCCAGCTAGACCAGCCGGGCATGTAAGAGGTTGGAATGGTAAAGCCGGTGTACATTGTGAGACCCGAGATCAAAATCGCAGCAAATGGCAGGGCCTCAACGAATGACCTAGTCAAAGATGCGATGGATCGGAAAAACATGGACATTGTTAGCGTGAGGACAAACGAGGTAAACAGGAAGAACAAGCAAGGTCCGGGCTCTCTCCGCAAATTCGTCATAAAGTAGAGAATTAGGTTAGATGCAATAGAGTTGACGACCTTATACGGCAGATCCATCAGCATAGATGCGATGGCCTCGGCAGACGGATGGTAGAGGGCAAATCGAGCGTGCTTCTCCACAATCGGTCTTTGAGCGTAGAGGGTAAATATTTCAAGACCAGAACTAAAGGCATTGATGACGATGGCAAAAAAAAGGAGAGAGCCACGCTGGAAAAAGCTCGCAGTATTATCCTTGAGGTTGAAGAACGTACTGGAAATAATTAGAGCAATAATGGCGTTTCCTATCGCTTGAGAGATGGTGATGCTAGGATCGCCCTTTAACCGAACCCAACTACGCCAGAGGCATAGTTTGATTTGTTGAATGTACGAAAGAGTATATGGCGACGATACGCGCTGGATCTTGGCTTGTTGGGCTCGTCGAGATTCTTTGAATCGGTCCAGATGCTCGCTACCGGATGTGTATTTCGAGTTGTAGATCTCAATCAGGTTCAGGAGCTCTGCGCGTTCGCGCGAAGCCTTCCATCGAGCAGCGAACTCATCAGGCGTTCGGGGAACCTGATTCTCATACCCAGGTTGCACAACACGCTCAAGATGGCTGGTCATGGAAGTGAGGAAGTCGGCATCGGTTTGTCGATCGGGACAAACGAAACCCATGTCCAAGAAGTACTGCTTAGCCTGGGCGGTAGGGCCGAAATAAATCTGGCGACCCTTGTACAAAACCAGTACTTTGTCGAAGTAGTCATAGGCAGCCTGGGGTGCTTGGTAGATGGCAACACAGGCTGTAGCTCCGTTGATTTCGGTTTGCATGCGTAGTGTCTTGCAAAACTCAATAGCATTGGCGCTGTCAAGACCACGGGTGGAGTTGTCCCAGCATTGTAGCGGTGCCTGGCTGAGGCAGGCCTCGGAAATACTAACACGCTTGCGTTCTCCTCCAGATACTCCACGAATGAAATCGTTTCCGACAATGGTGTTTCTCGTGTGGCTGATACCAAAGCTGGCCATGATGACGTCGCGCATGTGTTCGGCATACTGGTTCACGGTAGCCCCTCCAGGAATATGACGCGGGGCTCGCGCGCGGGCAGCGAAGAAAAGAGTATCTCCGACAGTGATGTTGGGGAAGTGAACGTCAACTTCAGCGGTATAGACGGCTTCTCCTCGGAAGTTCTTGATCAACTGCTTAGGAGTCAGACCTGGAGACTGTCAGTGGGAGGCAGCGAGTTCAAAAGGCATCTAGCCTTACCCTGGTAATTGAGATTCGATTTCTCGTCGACATAGAAGCCGTGATGTTGTCCAGTGAGAGTCTTCAAGAAGGTTGAGCATCCCGCTCCGGGAGGACCAAGGACGACAAGCATCTCTCCGGCCTCGACCAGTCCTTCCAAATCGCGTAGGATCTCAATCTTCCGCTCACGTTGGCCCATGATCCTCCTAACGAGGCCGGCCGCCTCTAACCAGATGTTGCCAACGCTCTTCTGGTAGTCGGTGTCGAATCCGAAGCCGTACACATTCAGATTGCTAAATGATACACCTAGTGTGCGAAGAGGATGTGCCTGGCTGTCTTCCGTATGTGTCTGCAACATGGCCTTTGCCCAAGCGCGGGCACTGAAATTCCCGCCATTGGGATCAAGTTTAGATCCGGGTTCAGCTGCAAAAGGGTTCTGGCTATTATTTGAGTAGATGCTGTTTTGTGTGTACTTCCTGGCGAGCTGATGGACCTCTTTTTCTCTCTGATCAGCACTGGAGATGCTGTCGTTGTTTGTGAGGCTGTCGCTGTGGTGGGAGTGATTGTGTAGTGAGCTGTCGGAAGGCATCACGCCGTTTGGGGCAGCCTTGAAGTCAGCTGCTCCCAAACCCATGGTTGCGGTTGTTCTGGTTTGAAAACGCCGGCTATCTTCAGAGATTTCGGTGCTAGGAAAGAAGTGGTGAAAAGGTCTGGGAGGTTACTATAAGAAGTAATCTTCAGATGCTTCTTCTTGGCTAGTACGATTGCGGTGCCCTAACAGCTCAAAGTGGGTCGATTTTCGAAACAAACAAAAGCACTGTTCCGGCGTTTTCCCAGCGTGCGCTCGGCGAATGAGTGAGTGAACGATGGCCGTCACGTGCCATACTAGCCCAAGCTGACAGCGATACAAGCTTGCACTCGGCTTTCTTCCTCATTGTGGCCGTCTAGTGCAGATTTACTGAGTACAACGCCAAGTGGATTGCTCAAAGACTCTCTAGTGAACTTGTTGCCGCGGATGGGTCGCATACAGCTAGCACAAGAAATGCGATCGGCACGTGCCTGGCTCTCGTCAGCCAGAAGGTGTGATGATAGGGGAGCTATTCCAAAGGGTCAAATCCCGAGCGACCAATCACATCGCTCATCTAGCTCGTCTAGCTTTCCTAGCCCGTCTAAACACTCCATTCCTATACATCTAACATTATCCACTCCCATATCAAAGTCCTGCCTGCACCAGTCTCGTACGTTACCTTGTAGTCGCCACCAACCTCAAGGGCGGGAGAGACTTGTGTTGTGGGCAAAGCCACCCGTCGCAACCAACATTGCTCTCTATTGCTCAACTAAACTCTTTCGGCCAGATACGAGTCGCGCGGCTCAAGCACCCTAGTCTTCCCGTTATGTGACCGGGGAAGCAGTAGGGAACCTCTTTTGGCCATTTCCCGATCTGAGCTTGGCCCCTACGCTACCGACCAGGTTATGGTAGGCTTGTTCTTTGCTTGCAGCCCCTGGGATGAAACCCTTATTCTATGTGAGGCTGTTGCACACGTGGAGGATCGGGAGGTATCTACTGTGTTATTAGTTTGAAGGATAAAAGCAAACGTAGCATTGTGGTTGAAAATCAGGAAAAGGTTGGTGGCCATTCTGTAGCCTACATCGACCCCGCCACTAGCTCTACAATCAACATGGGTATCCGCATCCTTTATAACAGCGTTGTTAATGATCACATGTCATGATTCAACCCTCGTCTTGGTCGAGATGTCCAAGCTTTTTGAAAAACCTGTGTGCCACGACTTCCGTACCGGAAGAGAAGTCAAAGTAGCGTACAACAATTTCGACACTGGAGCAATCGGCGCTGCCATGGATGCTCTGAATGAATCGCAAAACCAATAGTCCCAATTTTACAATGGAATCCTTCTTCCTAACCCTGCGCCCGCGGAATTGTACTGGCAGTTTAGATAATTTGTCAAAAAGTGTAAAGTTCAGGTAGCGGTTCTCATCATGTGCAACTTCAACCCAAGGGTTGGATAATCTCACGTCAACATCTCGGCAGTTGAAGCATTCCTATACTAGCACTCTAACCTTACCAACTCCAACTTTGTGTTTACGGCTCGTCTAAACACTAGCGAATTGCGTTTCAACGATCAATCTGAGTAGATCAAGGCTACACAAGTCCGCATGAACTCAGAAGTTACATACTCTTACCGCAGCAACCGTTGTGTCCTGCTCATTACGAAGACATTCAAATGCCCCAAGTTAATCATCAGTGTAAAGCTCATCATTGCCGTTCCCCCAAAGTCTGATTTCACGACCGCATTCAATCCCACCTCTCAGGAGAAAAAGCTGCTCGGAAAGTGTATCAATAACAGTCACTAGGTCGGCATCATTAAGAAATCTAGCTTCCCTACCAAATTTCGCATCGTAAACGCCGTCGTAGAAAGACTTTATGATTTCCCACCGCTGCCCGCAATCATGCAGCGTTGCGCCAATCGCAGGTGATATTCAAGGTTTATCTTTCGTCAAGGTCTTCAATACAATCATACAATGCTTTAGCATCCTGATTCTTTTTTTAAGAAAGAAAAGAAGTTATGTGTAAGGCTCTTGACTCAAGGTTACAGCCAAATTAGAGATTCGAATCGTCCTCAGAACAAATACAAATGCAGAGAGAGGAATCAGTATTCCAACATATAGATTAAGGAGTTATAGACTTTTCTATATTGAAAAGCTATTCCACTGCTCTTTTTAGATATGATTCTGCAAAGGTTCCATGTAGTACTTAGGTAGTAATTATTAGCATAGATCTAGGTTCAAGAGCGCGTCCAGAAGTATGTGATCAGATACAATGCTACAAAGGTAGCTGTTCTAGTTAGGCAATTGCTTGCGAAGCCGAAATTTTGCAACATGATCGTAGCACGATTGTGCCAGTAACAACAGTACTCCTAATACTCTTACTGAACAACGCTATTTGTCTCACAATATACAAGTATGCTCGTAGCAACATGAGACCACTAACATCCAACTTCATATAATTAAGAGCTTAATTACAACTAACCCCACAAAATCCAACCCTTACATGTTAAAACTATCCTAAACCACCCCCATTTCCCCTAATACTCCTTCGCCAACTTACTCCTCGCCCGCAGCAAATGCCCATACTTGAACATAACAAACGGAATCAAACTCAGCACCGTACCAAAAAGCGCCAGAATCAGTCCCGCGTACTGACTCCCCACGTTATGAAAGAAGGCACTGGCGAATAACGGCGTCACAGCACCAAGCGTGTTCCGCATCAGACCCTGACCGGCAATCGCCGACGAAGACGTCTCGCCGTAGCAATCCGCAGTGTACGAGTAGGTACTCTCGAAGACGAAGAAGATGCCAAAAGCAATCGGTGCGAGACCGATGACGGGCCCCACCCAGCTGAGCTGCTGGTACTGAGTAAAAGAATAGATAAATAGGCCTATGGGGAGCCAGACGGCGCCGAACATTGCGCCGTAGAGACGGTGCTCGGGTACAACACGGACGTTAGGGTCGGCCTGCAGCTTGTTGTACTTGGCCATTTGGAAGTGGTGCGCCGCCCAGCCGAGGACTGTGCCGACGGCGAGAGAGATGTAGGGAAGACCGCTGACGCCTTCATTCCAGCCGCGCTTCTCGGTAAAAGTGATGGGGATGACGGAGAGGAAGAGGAAGACGACGGCCCAGCAGAAGGCGATCCAGAGACCGAAAGCAAAGACAACGGGCTCGGTGACGAGCATGCGGATGGCTTTTACGGACGAGGCTTTGAGCATTGACTTGACGTCGGGCGTGTAGATGTCGTCTTCAGCGACGTAGCGGTCATCGCCAGTGGCCTTTTGGAGCTGCTTCGCACGCTTGTGGAGTTTAGCACCGCCACGGGTCTCCGGGAAGAAGACGAAGATGAGGATGAGAAGAGGGATGTTGGCTAGACCCTGGATACCTTCGACCCAGCGCCAGCCGAGTGCTTGGTCGATGAAGCCAGCGTAGATAGGCGCAGCGACTGTACCGAAAATAGCTACGAAGCTGAACATGGCCATGGGCCGACCGCGCTTGTGTGGTTCGTACATGTCGTCGAATGTGCCGCCGACTAAGATGGTGCCTACGCACCCGAAGAGACCGAGGAGCAGACGGAGACCGATGATGGTGCCGATGCTTTGTGCCAGTGCGAGACCAATGAAAATGAGTGAGAAGCAGAGGAAGGCGCTGGCGTATACGATCTTGCGGCCGACAAGTTCACAGAAAGGTGCCAGTACCATCGGTGCAATAGCGCAGGAGATGTTGAACGTGAAGAGCCCGAGTTGGCCGTATATAGCGTCTACACCAAACTCTTCACACATGCTGTTGATGCCCGAACTGTACGCCGTAGTCGCAAGACCAATAAAAAGCGTCATCAAATTCAGCATCGTGGTGATGCTGCGCTTGTACCAAGGGTTCCAGTTAAAAGGATTTTCCTTGTCGCCAGTCGCGAAACTCAAGACAATGTATTCTTTGCCTTCGTGGTTGACCATCTCGGTCAGTGTAAGAGGCATGTCGCAATCCACGCGCTTGATGGGCCCACAAGCAGAATCAATGTCCTCGACATCGTCTGTGAGATGTTTTCCACCAGCAATCCTCCCGATCATAAGCTCACCCTTTTCATTGCGAAGAATCTCAGAGTTCATAGAGACATTGTCTTCGTTCGCGAGCTTACTATTCACTCTTGACAAGAAAGCAGGTGTAGAGGTGCCGGTGTGAGGAGCGGTGTTGGCGGCAGTGTTGGCAGCCGTCTGGGCAGCAGTGGAACCGTCGATCGTATAAGGGATGGAGCCGTTTCGGGGTGTAGTTATCGATCCATTTCGAGGTGTGACTGGCGCACTTTGAGCGACTCGGTAGGATGAGTTCGCTCTTGATGCTGCTAGCGACGGTGGTCGGGAAGATTTGTTGTAAAAGGATGGACCGTAGTAGCCGGACATGTTGGCGAGAATTTGGGGAGAATTGTGCTGAGGAAAGCGGGAGAGAAGGACGCGGGTGAGCACGATAATAAGGGATGGTCACGATAGACCCAGGACTAAAACGGAGACACAAACATTTCAACTTATCGATGCCGGCGAGGTACCGGCATGATAGGAAAGCAGGGGAAGTATGGGCTAACAGCCATCTCACCAATGCCAGTGACCGTAAACGCCCGATAAACAGGATGAGAGCAGGATGCGAGAGCAAAGAGGCACTCATGCAGTCTCACCTTCAACGTCATATCGTCTGTGCACAGCTACGAACAAGACCTCTATCGTCGTGGCCAGGTGAACAATCGGGCGAAAATCTGATATCCGCAACGTGTGCCGCCACTATGCGCTCTAGCGTTTGGAATCGGACGAAGAGTTTGGTGTTGAGGCTCTGCGGGACTCCACTTAGCGTGCGGATCAGTCGGTAGATTTGCGGCATGACGTCGTGCGTGGGTATCGTGAGCCCATAATTTGCATGCGTTTGGATAGGTTCTAGGATTGGGCACAGTAGCCGTAAAGGCCCGAGCACATGCCTGCCAGCGGCGTATATGTGGTCTGATCGAGATGTTCCTCGAGGATACTCCGCCCACGTCAGTGATCTAGGACCCATGCCAAGAGCAACATCTTTGCCATCTCGAACACAAGGAATGTTCACCGAGTTTGAACCTTGTCCGATTATCAATCGTAGAAAGAGAAACGATATGAATTGTACTTTCGCCACACGCCAGGCCACATGTAAGAATCGCAGACTTTCATGTCCTCGTGGCTGATTTCTGTCAACACATATTCTTTTGTCAGTATGTATGGGATAGAATGCAGGGTCCGATATTTGCCTCCGGTAGTCCGCACTTATTGATACTCCAAAGCGACACATGTCTGTCGCGCAGGTTCACTTGGTGCAGGATAACAGAAGGACATTTACTCGGGCAGTCAGTCTTGCCAAACACTTGAACTGACTTCCTGAGTACATGTCGCGCTGCAACGTCATAGAAGAGTGTGGTTATGCTGACGAGTCCCCTAGCAAAGTTAAATTCGTGAAAATATTTTGACGGCGATTAGCGCAATCTCCGTCGAGCGACGTAAGATGTCAAGGATGGTCAGCTAAGAACATTGGTCAGACTATTAGCGAACAGTTTCTCACTACATGTTATAAACAACGGTAACCGATGCTTGGCATGTGCAAACGAAGAAGAACCTCAAGTTGCTTGTATCACATTGGTATCAGACAACGCCAGGCAAGCGATGAGCATTGTCGGTACAATTACTGCTTTTTCCTTGTCGCGCAGTGGTCTGCTTGGTCATGAAGGTGCCATTGTTTTGTATGAATTCCTGATAAACCCATGATCGTTATGAGACCGGCATCCGAATGCTGCATTTGAGCAATGTCATCGGACCATGATTGCCGATGCAGAGAAAACGCTCGAAGAACTCCACCCTAGTGCCCAATGTTCCCTTAAACCTCAGCAATCTCTCGGAGACGGCGGATCGTTGACCTTGTGGCGGCGGCAGCGGGAGTACTGTTAACCTTGTTAGTAATATCCTGATTTTTCTTCTTTCGCGCGCGTCCAATCCTTGGATGATGTTGCGCTCGGGGGTATCGAGGGATGTCTTACGAGACGGTGTAGGCTCCTCCGGCAGTGGTCTTGCGGCACGATCGGCAGTGCCAGATACCAACGGACTCGCGCTTGACAGAGTTCTTTCCGCAGAACTGGCAGACGTAGCGGGCGTGTTGTGCGATC